ACAGAAGAATGTGGCAGCTAAGGAACAGGAGGGTGAGGCTACACCTGGAAAAGGTTTTTTTCACCATGGAAACAAATTGTTTAGGAAGAAATAGTCCCTTTTCTATCTCTCAAATTTATGTTTCAGTTAGCCATTCTGCAACTATGTCTCACGAGGACAGATTAGCTTAACTGTAGATACTTCTATCTCCCCTTTTTCTTGAGAATGGGGTCTTTGATAAGAAAAGGTGGTAAGATGTGATGACGTGAGATAAACAAGATGAGGAAAGAAAGAAGAAAGAAAGGAAGCTAGCAAGCAAGGTAGAAGGAGGGAAGGAAAGAAGGCAAAGAAGAGAAAGGGAAGGAGTTGTTTAACAAATAACACTTTGGAGTTGTACATTTCTAAATTAAGTTTAAGTAGAAATTGGATTATCTTGTAGCTATGTAACTTAGAATCACATGAAATCCCTAGCCTATTTCACACCAATTGACTGTACAAAAATTAAAAAAAACTATATGAAAATATTTGACTGAATGTTCAATAGTTTGAAAGATTAAAAAAAAATGAGATGGGATTGAAGAACAGGGAACTAAAGATAGCAAAATCCCTGATAAATAGAAGAAGTAACTATCATTTAGAAAGCATTTAGCTTGGGTGAGTCATAAATCAATGTACATGATTCCAATTATTTTTTCACAGAAATCTACCAATTAGGTACTATGAATTGATTTCAAGCTTGAAAGAAATGGAGCTCATAGAACAGAATCTGTTGTATCTTGAGTGGACTAGCACTTAAGCAAAGGCTGTCTTATTGCAGATTTATCTATGTGCTTAAAATTTTACCGTCTAATGTGCTGAATCAGTCTGTCTCTGGATGGCAAGCCAGTAGGAGAAAACCGAGAAAAGAGTGCCCACAGTCCTTGAGTGCTCACATCAAAGAGCTTCTTGCATGGATTTGTAAAAGTGCTATCTGAGCTAATATAATTCAGAAGTAACAGAACACGGTATGGAGAAGTACATGAGAATCAGCAATATGCTTACTGAATATGTTATCAAAATAATTTCAACTGCTCTTTTTTATTCTTTTTAATTTAGATATTGAACATTTCAAGTTACCAAAGTAATAACTTTGGCAAATAATGGGAATTTGGAAATATGGGGAATATTGTGACTAAGACATTCTTAATACCACATTTATTAGAAATTCAGAAATTTGAAGAATAGCAAAAGCAGTTCCTTTCTGTATAAAAACTTTTTTGGTCAATTCATGCTTTATTTCAATATGGTTTAGCATGATTCTCTTATACTTTATAGTATAAAGTCAATAAGACTTTTTGAAAAATTTATTACATTTATTCATTTTCTTGATCACGTGTCTGCATATGGTCTGGGAACATGCCCCATTAACACATACAGGAAGTCTGAAGGCGACTTGAAGCAGTTGATTCTCTCCTCTCATCATGTAGTTTAGGTTGTCATGGTTACAAGAGCTTTTACCTACTGAGCCATCTTACTGGAATGAAATCATAAACATATTACCTAGCTGCCATTAAGACATAAACTACTTTGAAAACTTTCTTAGTATGCTTTAAAAAGTTACTTTGTTTCTTCTTAATGCTTAGAAAATAGCATATTCTGCCGGGCGGTGGTGGCGCACGCCTTTAATCCCAGCACTAGGGAGGCAGAGGCAGGTGGATCTCTGTGAGTTCAAGGCCAGCCTGGACTACAAGAGCTAGTTCCAGGATAGGAACCAAAAGCTACAGAGAAACCCTGTCTCGAAAATCCAAAAAAGAAGAGAGAAAGAAAATAGCATATTCCATGTTAGAACCAAATTTGGATCTCTGCCTATATTATTTGTATTATGAAGATGTACTTTGGTCCTGAGTTTATGTATGTTTTTCCTGAAATAAATAAATTCTTGTTACTTCACTAGAATAAAAATAATTTTTGAGTTTGATTTTCAAAACTGTGTAAACTAGCTGAAAAAAAAGGTATACATCTTTAATCACAATATGGTATCTTCCAATTCTAAGTTAATACTGACCCCTATGGGTTACTTTATTCTAAACTTTGTAATATTCTTACAGAAAATTTGATTAACTATTCAAATATTTGGTTAAATTCTCAAATGTTTAAATTTGGAAATGAATTGCTTGAGGAAGAATGCCATAGAATACTCATATGTCCTTTCTCTCCTTTCATGATACAACCCAAACTACCTTAAGAATTGTTTTTTAAAAATTTGCTCATTACTCAACTTCATATGGAAAAGAAAAAAACCCAGGATAGCCAAAACAATCCTGTACAATAAAGGAACTTCTGGAAGCATCATATCCTGACTTCAAACTCTAGTACAAAGCTACAGTACTGAAAACAGCCTGGTATTGGCATAAAAACAGACAGGAGGACCAATGGAACTGAATCGAAGACCCAGATATTAACCCACACACCTACAAACACCTGATTTTTGACAAAGAACAAGAAAATGGGAAAAAAGAAAGCATATTTAACAAATGGTGCTAGTATAACTGGATATCAACATGTAGAAGAATGAAAATAGATCCATATCTATCGCCATGCACAAAACTCAAGTCGAAGTGAATCAAAGATCTCAGCATAAAGCCAGCCACACTGAACCTCATAGAAGAGAAAGTGGGAAATACACTTGAACACACAAGAGACCACTTCTTAAATATAACCCCAGAAGCACAGACACTGAGAAAAACAATTAATAAATGGGACCTCCTGATACTGAAAAGCTTCTGTAAAGCAAAGGATATGGTCAACAAGACAAAACGACAGCCTACAAAATGGGAAAAGACCTTCACTAACCCCACAGACAGAGGCCTGATCTCCAAAATATACAAGAAATTGGGCATCAAAAGAATAAATAATCAAATAAAAAATAAGTGTTTGTGTGTGTGTGTGTGTGTGTTTCTTTCCTGAAAAAATTCTTATGCCAACCTTTTCTTACATACCATCTCTTCCCTCTTCTGATCCCACATAATTGCAGATTCTCTAAAATGTCTTTCCAGCAATTGTACAGAATAAATTTGTGCACAGAAGTCATGATCTTTGTAATTAACTTATCACTTTATTATTTGATACATGTGAAAAATGTTCTCATGTAAATTAAGACATGATGGAGGCCAGAAATTGCAACTGAGTAGGCGATCCCTACAAGAACAACAAAGATTAAACGCTATCTAGGTCTCCCTCAGAAAAGTATCAAATGTCTAGGAAGAAAATTTCCATTTTAATAAGTATGCTGATTATATCTCTCCTACAGATATAGACAAGAGAATATAAAGGAACCTGGAGAGAATCACGTGAGAAATTGACACACCCTTGGCTGGTGGGGAAGAAAGTAAGAAACATATTCTGTATTGATTGTCTATGGATTCCTGTATGTGATGCTAGAATTTGCAATTGTAAAAGCACATATCCTTTTTAACCCTCACAATTCTATATAGTTAATTTTCATAGCTATATAGCACTAATGAAGATGCTAAAATTTTAAGAAATCAAGGATCTTACTAATGTTGTCTTAGTTTCTGTCCCTCCTTCCTGTCCTTCTCTCTTTCCTTCCTTGTTCCCTTTCTCCCTCCCTTCCTTTCTTACACTCTTCCTCCCTCCTTCCTGTCCCTCACTCCCTTCTTTCCTCCCTTCCCTTGCTGTTGTTGCTGCTGCTGTAGCAGTGATAAAATACTCTGACTAAAAAGCTTAGGGAGAAAGGGCTTATTTTTAGCTCACAGCTGCCTGTCACGGTTCTGTTCACAATTAAGGTACTTATCAATTAGAATAATCAGGATGATCCCCATAGGCTTGACCAGAGATTCTGTGAGCTTGACAATTAATACTTACCACAATAATCGGTTTCTTTAAAATTTATACTAAAACCAGAATTTAAAACTAGGGTAAAGGAGAGTATAGAGATGACATTATCAATCACACAGGTAAAAGTAATAATTTTTCCCTGATAGTTATTTGTCTTGAATTTGGGGGCTCTATGTTCAGAAATCTTCTAATGTCAATGTTTTCCATTGGTATGGAACTATATAGTATCTGCAACTATAAATGGAATCACTCTACATTTTATAGATAATTTTTTTATTTCCAAGCTTGAATTTCCAAGTACAAGCAGGCTCATTTCAGATTCTTAAAAGTTTGAGGTGCCCAAAACACACCGGTTTTCTTTTATTTACAGTTCCATCCCTGGGGGGTGGGTAGGGAGTGATGGTGGTGGTGGTCTGTGTTAGTTAACAGTTTTAGTCCTACCAGATTGCTAAGGATTATTCCATCTCTTCCTATGAATTTTTTTTGTCAATCTTATAGACATTTTCTTTTTTTAAAAAAAATTATATTAATGGTTATTTCAAAGTGAAGTTCTTTCTGTGTCTCAAACTCTTTTCATATAATATTTTCAATTACAAAAACTAAGAATCAACACTCTCCAAGGACACATTTCAATCATGCATAGTTCAAAATGAGTATGTTCATCTTAAGTTTGGATAGCTGTCAGTAAAATCAATGCACTATAATAAAAAAATCTTAATTAAAATGTTTTCCAAGTACAAACCATGTAAAATCTACTAAGAAGTCAGAACGTGCATCGACAGTAAACAGAAGATCTAAGAGAAAGCGTCATACTTGGTGGGGCAGGGAACGGATATGTACATACATGAACTGCGTATGTAAATAGATATTTAAGGGGGAACACAAAACTAGCTGAAAGGGACTTTAGTGAAAATGAAACGGCTAAATCCCAAGGGGAACCGAGCTCTGAAAAAGCAGAAAGAGAACAGTTCTGATCTCTGCTAACGTCCAGTACAAATAGAAGGTAAGCAAGTGTCTTCTACTCGGCTAAGCAGGCCGGCTCGGCAAAGCCAGAAACCGATTTCCAGGAAAGCAGCCAGGTCGCGGGGCTGGAGAACCAGCCCGACCTGCTAGCCCCGCGCAGGCGCACCGTAGACGCGTCGCCGCCCTCACTCCGCCCTCGTCTGCGAGGAAGTGACGCAAGGCCGAGGGGCGGGTGCGTTCTGCGCCGGAAGTGCCTGCCAGACAGTAAATAAGCACAGAAAAGCAGAAGACGCTGTCTCCATCTTGTCGGCAGACGCTGGGCCAGCGACGCGGAGGCGATGGGGAGCGTGCTGGGGCTGTGCTCCGTGGCGAGCTGGGTAAGGCGGCTTGGTGCGGGCAGGTGCGGATCGGTGCAGACCGGCTTTTCCGCCTTCCTCCGGTCTGAGCGGGGCCCGAGCCTAGTGAGGGCGAGGCCGGGCGGGCAGGGGAGCCGCCCGAGCAGAGAGCGCCCTATGGGATTTCCCTCTGGAGTCAGCCTCTGCTGTCGTCGCTCGTCCAGCTCCTTCCTTCTGTTGGGCGCCGCGTCCCTTTCAGTCCCTTCGTGCCCGGCGACCTCGCACTGCGGCACTGTCATTCCCGGAGGCCTCTTTGTTCTGACACGCAGCCTCCAGGGAATCGGGCCCGTTATTTGGCACAGCTTGACAGCAGTGCCGATGTAGCAACGTCGTTTTTGAAATAAAATAGTCTAAACTCTCTCAATGCCTTCTTCAGCTTTAGTGGCTTGACTGTTCATACATCCAAATTGGTATTTCTAGAAAAGCTGACCTGTTCTTTGGTACTAAATATTCTTTGTCGTCAACCATGGGCATGCAGTCTGAAACTCGATGCTTTAAAAGGATGGGTATGTTGCGTTTTCGTTAGACAATAAAAGCGTCTTTAGTGTAGTGGCAAGATTTCGTAACCCAGGTAGCACAGACAACCCCATTCCTCAATAGCCAATACATTAGCTATGCAGGTTAAAATAAAGAGCTTCATTGCTTTGGGTGGGGCATTTGGATTAAAATTTTACTCTTCAATCTGTGATTTCTTAGTTTAATCCATAACAATTTTCTGGCTAACCAAATGGTTCCATTACATGTACATTAACTAACATACTGGCTAAATTATATGTTTTGTCTCTTAAAACATGCTTTGATATAGCTTGAATTATAAATGCTTAATTTTTATCAAGTACCATGTGTAACTTCTTATTCCAACAAGCTATTCTCTTGTATTTCTGTTTGCAGTTGGCTTTGGAAATTTGACTGCAGAAGTTAAGAGAGTCTAATGAAATTTGTTGAACCTTTTATGCAGAAGGCAAAATTTGGTCCAATAAAGATTAATAAATAAGAGCCTGGAAAGACAAGTCAGCTGGCTAGTGCGTGATGCTTCTGCTAGATAATGGAGTTTGTTTGGTTCTCAGCACCCACACTTGGCAGTTCACCACGGCCTGTAACTCCAGCTCCAGGGAATCTGGTTCCCTCTTCTGCTCTGACCTTGTCTCCCTTGGGAACATACTACCACGCAGACACGCATGCATGCACATAACAATTAGGAATAGTTATTATAAAACTTTTTCTTTTTTGATTTGTTATTTAGTAGAATTGGTTTGGTTGTGATAATGGCATAAAATAGTTCTATTGAGGTCATAGAGATAGAGGGATATGAAGTCCCCATTTTATTATTTTCCAATTCAATTTTGAGTACCTGTTTTTGGTATCAAGGTCAGTGTTTTATTGACTTTTTTTTTACATTTTAAGGAATTTTTTTTTGTATGTATGTATGTCTGTATTTTAAGTCAAAATGGCTCTGGAGATTAACATGGGATAAGTTCCATTACTACTTTTACCACTGTGACTGCCTGTTTTGTTCACTAAAAGAATGCCTTTGGTGGGACTGACACTGCCTTGTCATCACCATTAGATTAGCACCCTGAAAAGGTAGCAATAACATGCAGGGTTAAAGCTGTCAGAAGCTAGGGTGCCATGCGATCCTACTTCCTGATGACTGGATCGTCCCTTTTGTTCCATGTTCTTTTCTCTATTTTAATTATGGTATTTCAGTGCACATCTGTAAATAGAATTTGCCCTATGACATACGAATCCATCTTTTTCACATCCTCAAGTTAATACGCTCATTTATTTGAAAGCTTTGATAAAGTAAATGCTTATTCAGATAATTCCTATATTGAATCATTATGTCAAGTAACCCATAATTGAAAGACGTGCTTCTTGAACAGGTTTTTGCAGACTTAGTCAAATTTAATGATTTCTCCCACCTTGTTCATAAAAGAATTATAGAACATTGTTACTGAACAAAAAGAAGTATGAAAGAAAGTTACATGTAAGGATCTCTGGCCCTTTTATCCATTCCTAAATCTACATGTACCAGCAGCCACTAATTAATATACCTTTCTCTAACCTGAGGTCAGCATTGGTGTTTTGAATAGAGTTGTTTTTAATTACTAGACCTTGTAAACAATTACAATCAGTTCTCTACCCAAAATAGTTAATGTGGTTAAATAATTAAGAAAGAAGTAGGAATTACCAGATACTGACTTTGTGGCAACCTCTGCTCCATTTTTATTTTGTATGCAATGACCTTTTTTTGGGGGGGGGGGGGGTTATTCATAGTTGCTATGGGACACAGAACAGTTTGGTGGGACTTGTCAGCTTTGACTTCATGAGGAAATGATCTAATTTGGCTGTTTCCAGCAGAAAGCTCATCTAAGGCTGTTGATGCCCCTAGAGAAAACTTGTAGCTTCCTGTCTGCATAGAATACCTAGATTTGGGGAGCCAAGTGTGGTGAAGTGCCATATTCTACATTTAAAGTGTGATTTTATGTAGTTAATATATTGTCAGCTCTACTCAATGTTCATTTATGTACCAAGAGCCTTGCTTTATTCTCTTCAGTTTTGTCTTTCACTCTGCGTTTTACATCTTTTGTGCTTCTCTCCTGTGTTGGCTAAGATCCTCATTGTAAATAAATGTAAAGCCCCTCGCTTGCCTTGTTTTAGATGGTAGGGGAAAAATGCATTAGATTTAAATGTAGATGAGAAGGATAGGTATTTTATTAATTCCTTTTTTCAAGCCAAGGATACTTTATTTCAACTCTACGGCTGAGGGTACTATATTTCATCCAGTAGCTTCTCTTCACTTATTGAGATGACCAAGTTGAGCTTTTTCCTTAGTTTGTGAATACTGTGTATTAAATTGGTTGTTTTTAAAAGTTGAGGCAATTTTTTGCCCCAGACTAAAACTTGTCTTGGTCACAATATTCTATTCCTTTATATTTCTGCTTCATGTGCTAAAATTTAGTTAAGAATTTTCATGTTCAGGTTGATATTAATCTGTTGTTTTCTTATAGTATCTTTGAATTTAGTACTAGCAGTTCTTGTTCATGTTTTAAGTACGAATATATATTCAATATCTGATAGTTTGCATCTTTTAGATTTTATTTCTTTGCTGGTTTTGCTCCTAAAAATGTCCCTCTTTTGCCTTAACTTTTGAACACTATTTTCATTCACTACAAAATTAAAGTTGTTTTCTTTCTCTCTCTCTCTCTCTCTCTCTCTCTCTCTCTCTCTCGTAGTACTGACTTTTGTCTGGAAGTATTTCTTACCATTAATATTTTTTTCGTCTTTGTTCCTCTATATAATATGCCCTTATTTACTTATATTATTTTTGTATGCTTTTAAGATTTTTCTGGTTATTACTGCTTTTAAGCAATGTTATAGTGTTACTTAGTATAATTTTTATCATATTTATTTTACTGAGATTTTATTCAATTTGGATATGTGAATGTGTAGTTTTTATTGAATTGATAGAAATTTGGTAATTATTTCTGCAGGATTCCTCCTTTTTCTTCTGTCCTTTAGGGACTCTAATTTCACTCACATTAACTGCTTAAAATGGTGTCATGTGCACTGATCCTTTTTAAGCATCTCCATCTCTTTTTATGTTTGATCATTTCATATCTGAGCTCGTGTTCCCTCGCTCGGTCGCTCACACGTGCGCACACACACTCAATCACTGATTTACCATAGTGTTGTGGTGGGTGGTATTCCTCCACCCTGCACTGTTTCCCCGTCTTCTTGTGTTGAGAATTCCCAGAATTTTATGACTGTACTCTTGGAGGCAGGGGCTGGAGGTGAGCTTAGTAGCTGTGCTGTTGATGAATATTCCATTTCTTGGTTATTGTTGATTATTTTTCTTGATTTTTGAATAAATTTACTAGGTATAGAGGACATTGTTTATTGTTTGACCTTGCTCCGTTTTTGGCTTTAGGTTTTAGAGCATATATATAATGTTTGTGAATCACATACATTTAGTCTTTTTTAAATTTATGTCACTGTTTATCTCCCCTTTCAACAAATAGAGTGTACATTTTTATTGAACCATTTTAAACTCTGCTGATCATTAATATTTTTTCCCAGATACCATGTTTGTGTGGCAGTGCCCCATGCCTGCTGTGCCGATGCTGCCCTAGTGGAAACAACTCCACTGTGACTAGATTGATCTATGCACTTTTCTTGCTTGTGGGAGTTTGTGTAGCTTGTGTAATGTTAATACCAGGAATGGAAGAACAACTGAACAAGGTCAGTCTTTTGTTTTATTGTTGATGAACTAAAACTGTAGAATATACAAGAATAACTTTTGGATAATAAAATAATATAAAAATACAGTAATATATAATCCTAGTTTTAGTAAATTATATTGTTAGGAAAGACAAACAGTATGAGGTAGCTTGTTCAGTTCTATGATGGCAGCACAAAAAATATTCTTTGGTAATTTCTATGGTTGTTGGTTTCCCACCAAAACTAAACAGTAGATTCCAATACTGAAGACATCACATGCTATAGTCTTAGGACATAAAGAAATCAGGTTGGAAGTGGTCTGGATGCCTCCTTCCTTCTGAATAACTCTCATCATACCAGAACGTATTATTCAGGCCCTTGGGGAAGAATTGCCATCAGCAGTCTTACTTGGTCCAGTGGCAAGCCTGTTAGAGATGACCAGTTACTTTGTAATTAGATTTGAGGTCCACTCCCTTGGAAGGAATTTATATCTGGTATTGTAAATTCTTTTACTGTAAACCTCATTGAAAGCCTGTGACTAGAGACTATTAGGCCTAGTGGGGGTACCACTGTTACTGCTTTACTAAATGGACTACCCACAAGATTTCCTTCTAGGTAGCTGTTCTTCAAGCCTATAGATGAGTGGTATTGTCAGCTTTGATCAGAGAAGCTTGTTTTTACACCTGCAGACTGTCTGCAGTACTTGCAGAGGCCCATAGACTAGTTGCTGTTGAAAATAACTGAAGGTTGAATGCTCAGCCATAAACGGGTTATCTATGTCACTGCTTCCAAGGCTCAGTGAACGTTGCTCAAGTGGGGACTGAAAGAATGTAAGAGCCAGAGGAAAATGAACAGTGGTATCAAATCCCAACCTTTCAGGCATAACATAACTGTTTACTTACAAACTCACAGGATCTGGTTGTGTTGAACCCACTAACATTCAGTAATGGAGAGGGGAGGAGCTCACAAGATTCTGCCTCTTTGTGAAATCTGTGTGCAGTTAGTAGTTGTTGAGAGAGTGAAAGACATTTTATTTAGTGGTGTAGCCAGTGTTAAGATGCTCGTGGTCCCATAGAGAACCCTTCAACGCTTCTGGAAACAACTCTAGTAAAACTCGTTGGGTCAAAGAAAAAACAAACGATATGGAAGTAGGAGGAGGACAAATAGGAAGATAGCAGGGATCAGCAGGAGTGGGAGGGAGTGTGGTGGGGATTGGGGTGAATATGATCAAAGTACATTATATGTGTGTATGAAATGTCATGTTGAAAGCCATGTGTATAACTAATATATCAATGAAATCAGGAAACGACTTTGGTGATGTCACTGTAATTGGAAAGGGGATTGTGTATGTGTGTTTTCTTTTTGTTCCTGAAAAGGGAACATTTTAAAAATAAGTAAAACTTAAGTGCAATGCCTGAAAATGAGGAAGCAACAATGACTAGGAAAGGTTTTGAGATAATTATGTCTAGGATTAACTTTGTAAAGATAGAAGCCAAGTGCTTAGATCTAGAGGCTTGATAGAATCAGTGAGCGAACAGGCCTCAGATATTGTTGAAGTTGTAGTGATTGAGTCTGTCTGGCATTCAGATATTGGTAGTACTAGAATATATTAACCAGATTCTGGTTCTTAAAAACTAGGGGAAGTAATTTTCTAACCTAGAAACAAGGGCTGGAGAGGCAGCTCAGTGCTTGCTGCTCCTCCAGAGGACTAGAGGTTGCTTCCTGACATCCACTGTTGGGTGGCTCATGACTGCCCAAACTCGAGCTCCCAGAAACCTGATAGCTCTCTTCTGACCTCTGTAGGTGCCTTTAGTCATGTTCACATATGCACACATAGTCACATAGTCAAAAATAAATCTTAAAGAAATGAAAATAAAGTCATTTTCAATTTTTTTCTTTTTCAGTGAGTTGGCTTATAGAAGCAGAGGGAATATATAGTTTATAACATGATGACTTAAAGTTACTGTATCACATACCTGTGTATATGTAGTTCAGGCTGCTAAAATAGTAATATTATGAAAATGTGGTTTAACAGAAATTTCTTTCTTAATTGCTTGGATGAGGGATATTTGAAATAAGGGTGCCAAAAAGGTTTAGTTCCAGTAAAGGTTTTGTTTGCAGTTGACCACCATCTTGCATTTCATGTTATAAGGAGAGAAGTAGCAGACTGTGTCATGCTTTTTATGTAAAGGCACAATGTTAATCTAATTATTTTCTCCTTCTTAATCTTGTTCTATTAAGGATTAGAGTTACAAGATGGAATATTGAGGCCAATATTAGATGGCTTAGTCACATGGCTAAATGCATTTGCTACCAAACTCAGTGAGCTCTTTCCATCCATATGATGGAAAGAGAAAACCAGCTAACTCCCTTGAGTTCCCTCTGGTCTCTATAAATGTACTATGGTGTGTGCACATACATAAATAAATTAATTTTAAATATGTGAATTTGGGGCAGATGGTATGGAGGCTAAACACTGTACATCTATGAAGAAATAGAAAACATTAATTCAGATCAGAGTGAGTACCCGTTTTGTGAGCTGGAAATTGAAATCCAGGCAGCATATGCTGTAGAAACCCACACAGGATTAGTGATGCTAGAACTTCCTCAGTAGTTCTTAAGGGAGTTGACAGAGAGGAAGCCTAGCACTGGAAGAAGCAGTGAGAAAACCACCAGCATACAGGATTTAGACAGAATTGTTGGAAGGACTTTTAGTATACTGAAAATTAAGGACTTCCAACAGCTATTGGATATGAGTGGTAAAAAGCTAATACCTAAAATTTAATATTCTTATAATACTGGGACTAGGTATGAGAAGAATAGTTTACTCTTATACATATGATATGTGTCATTTCAAATAATACTGACACTTAAGTCACGAAAGCTTTTTTGCGTATAGATTTCACTGTGACTTTGTATTTGTGAGTGTGTTTTGGTGGAGACCCATGTTGCATGGGAAGGACTCTGGTACTGCGCCTCTCCACCCCTGCTCAGTTCCTTTCTGATATGGTCACTGCTATTTCTCAAGATTCTAAATTAAAATATGAATATATTGTCAGCTCAAGTTAAATTAATAATGTACTCATAATGAGAAATAGAACTTAAAGGCCTTATTCTAAAAATGAATTTAAGTAGCATTAGCTTTAAAAAGCTATTTTTTATTCTCTATGGTCTCAGAAGTGACTGTTTTATGCAATTCTTTAAGCTTTTGTTCATTTCTTCCCACCTGTCTTAACTTATGTAATTCAGTACATCACAGTAGAATGCAAGTCTTAAAAATTTACAATTATAGTATGCTATCAGTAAGTACATTTTTGTTTTCATGTAACATTCAGATACTTATTTAAAGAAGTAAAGTAAATCTTCAGCTCAAAATAATCATTTAGCCCAAATGCAGCCATTGTTAGTTTATTGTTTATTATTTGCTCATTTGGAAGTTTTAACTTTTTTTTTCTTTTTGGTGAGAAAAAAGTCTCACTATGTGTTGTAGGAGGCCATTTGTTTGTTTCCAGGTGCCCAGAACTGAAATAATAACACAGAAACTATATTATTTAAATCACTGCTTGGCCAATCAGTTAAGCGTATTCCCAGCTAGTTCCTATATGTAGAATTAACCCATTTTCATTATTTTATATTTTACCATGAGGTTTGTGGCCTGACTGCAAGGTTCCAGCTGGCAGCTACATGGTCTCCTGACTCCACCTTCTTTCTCACAGCATTCAGTTTAGTATCTGTGTCGTGCCCCCCCCCCCCGAACCTCTGTTCTTCCCTTCCAGGCCCAACACAAATTCTTTATTAATCAATGGTATTCACAGCATACAGAGGGGAGTCCCACATCAACTATGTAACCACAGCTGACTTGGACCTATGTGTAGACTAGGCTGACCTCGAAATCATAGAGCTCTATCTACTTCTGCCTCCCTCAGTGCTGGAATTAAATGCTTGTGCCACCATGCCTGGCCCTAACTCCCCCTCCTTATGTTAAAATGCAGCAGGGTTATTTTGATTATATATATTTTTATGGCTTGTAAAGTAGATTACAGTTTACATGGAAGTTTTAGTTCATGAAAAGTATTGACCATAAACCCATTTTGTTTTCCTAGATTCCTGGGTTCTGTGAGAATGAGAAGGGTGTTGTTCCTTGTAATATTCTGGTTGGCTACAAAGCTGTGTATCGCTTGTGCTTTGGCTTAGCCATGTTCTACCTTCTCCTCTCTTTACTAATGATCAAAGTGAAAAGCAGCAGTGATCCTAGAGCCGCGGTCCACAATGGGTAAGCCTTGAATTACATGAGAGAAAAGTCTGTAGAACCTGTCTCCTGGTAATTTTGAATTTATCCAAAGAAATTTCAAAGCAGAATCATCTGACCAGAAAAACCTTTTAAGAACGTCAGTTGATTTTACTAGAGAAAGTCTTGCTTTGGATATTAAATAATGGTGGTGAGTTATTTATCAGCATCAACTCTGATGATGTATTTTAATTTCAAAGGAGGATGTATATATGTGACTAAAGGAAGCTTTTAGTGAACCGGCCCTATTACATAGAACACTCAACTTCTACATCTAGAAGGCAGCCAAATAGAAAGAAACTTTATTCCTGAACAAGCATTGATTTTCTAGATGACTGTTTTGCACAACCTGGTTGGGGGAGTGCTAATTTAATCAGTCTCTTTTAATATTGAATATTTCATCAGGTAGTTTATTTGAATGCTTTATTGCTTCTTTTTCAACATGCTATGCCAAACACGGACTAAAAATGTAATATTACATAATAAAAATTTCTATAACAGGCTTTTACCATTTTAGTTACTGACTGTCTTAAATTACTGTTTTGGATGTAGGCATTTGTCATAATTTATTAAAGCTATTAATTTGTGAAATTAAATTTTACTTTATATACTGATATATTATCCAGTTCAGTCCTCTGGAATGAAACCAGTATTCTCAAATGAGTTGTTGGCACATCTTTCTTAAGACTATCTTTACAGTAGCCTATGTAGTGGTCGGGGTTTGTTGTTGTTGTTGTTTTTCAGTATATGCTTTAGACTATTTACTATTATGTAAAATGTAACTGTTCTTTAAGTGGTTCTGAAAAGATTTACTGTTTATTTATTGGTTGCTTATTATTATAATTACATTTCTTTCTGTCTTAGATTTTGGTTCTTTAAATTTGCTACAGCAGTCGCAATTATTGTTGGAGCTTTCTTCATTCCAGAAGGCACTTTTACAACCGGTGAGGATTTTAAAAAAATTCTGTGATATTTTTGTTTGTTTGTTGTAAAGGAAACTATAGTAACTGCTACCTTGTTTATTCTTTTACTGTTTGGTTTTTCTTTTTTTCCCAAGTTGCAAAATCAATTTCCATAAATTTTATATCAAGATTATTAAGAAAAGTAATAAAAACTAAAGCAGTCATTCCTTTGCTCAAAATATGCTATTTTTCCTTTCAGTGTGGTTTTATGTAGGCATGGCAGGTGCCTTTTGTTTTATCCTCATACAACTAGTTTTGCTTATTGATTTTGCCCATTCTTGGAATGAATCATGGGTTGAAAAAATGGAAGAAGGGAACTCAAGGTGTTGGTATGCAGGTAAGCTTTTATTTCATGGAGTATCCTCAGTACAGTGAACATTGATGAGAACAGATGGTTTGCAGGGAAATCCCTTAGCATTTTGTGTTTTATTCCTATGAAGAGGTTTTCAGTTTAAGTTTATGAGTGACTGTATCAGCAACTTGTAGAAAATTACTAACTAGCACTATCACTTTACCCTTGAATAGTAATGGAACTGGAAGACCCTTGAATAGACAGCATGATATTCAGAGTCTATTGATTAAAGATTTTTGCACACAGATTTCCCAGTACTTTAAAAGTAAAATTTGAAAGGGAATTCTACTAGAAATAACATAGAATTGTGTTAATTCATCAGCAGCAATAAACAGAAACAAACAAAACCTTTGGAACACTTTATAAAGGTATAAAAGATGCCTAATACCTAAGGGGATTTCTGTATAGTATAGCTGCATTAACAAGCTTGAGTTAATTGGTTAGTTACATAAAATAAAAGATTTATTTTAAAACAAGTACCATGCTGAATATATAATATTTTTATTAAAAAATCTAATAATTCAATTTTTTCTTTCGCAGCTCTGTTATCAGCTACAGCTCTGAATTATTTGCTGTCTTTAGTTGCCATCATCTTATTCTTTGTCTACTACACTCACCCAGCCAGTTGTTCAGAAAATAAGGCATTCATTAGCGTCAACATGCTCCTCTGCATTGGTGCTTCTGTAATGTCTATACTGCCCAAGATCCAGGTATGCACTCATTTTTATGAAGCCTTTAACTTTCAAAATTTTCATAAAACAGAAAGTCAGATATTTATTTACATTACTTCATATTTTGTTTGTAGGAATCACAACCAAGATCTGGCTTGTTACAATCTTCAGTAATTACAGTCTACACAATGTATTTGACATGGTCTGCTATGACCAATGAACCAGGTATATTTACTTATAATGAGTCTTGCAGAACTGACTTTTTATTCCAAACTCTTCATTTTAAGGGGAAAAGTTCCTTAAATTAGGCTGGTAGAGGAGCGGAGCATGTAAACAGTACTACTTCATCTTTAAGGTATTGCTGTTTTTATTTTTACTTAGTTTTCTCCTTCACTAACAAAATGATATAGTTCTAAGGAATCATGGAAACATATATACTTAATTTTTATAGTATCTAAGATATGTTATATGTAAGAAGAAATAAAGTATTTTCAATTTTTTTTTTATGTTTTGTCTTAGACAAAGTTTCACTTTGTAGCTTATGCTGACCATGCCCTCTCATCAGCCCTCATGCCTCAACCTCCAAAATGCTGGGAATGAACCACTCCTGGCTTTAAGTTCTTTTTCAGTTGTAAATTTAATTATAGTTTTTTCATGTTTTTTTTTGGTAACTATTTTGCAAATAGATAACTGGCTTTGTAATGAATTTCTGTACTCAAGTCACACTAAGTCCCATAGGAAATAAACTTCTGTATGTCTTGAAAGAACAGAGAAATTACATTTTTTAGAATTTTTTTCCTATAAAATCATATTTATATAAGATATTTTCTGACTCTCATCACTGTTTACAAATTGATTAAATATCTTTTCAGTTGTTACAGAGACAGGGATCTTAGTGTATAGAGAATCCTCTTCCCCCACCCCAAAATAAGTAGTTTTAAAATATCATTAATGATTTCTTTGAGATGTTAGCCTTATGTACTTTTCTTTAATAAAGTGGAGATTGAAGATTTAGATTTTTGGAATTAAAACTGAATATGTTTTGGGCACTTAAATGTATGCTTATCCTTTTAAGATGGCAAAGAAATTCATAGGAAAGGCAGCATGTTATAAGTTAAAAGATCTGCATTGTTTTTCTTTTTTTTTTACAAGATGGATTTTATTTCCTTGCATTTTATGAGGGTAATAGATTATAAATGTGGACACAAGTATTAGCCCAATGCTTTAAGGCTGTAGCCAAAGGTGATTGGTTGAAAGCAATAATGCTTAGGGCACAGTTTTCCTAAGGGGTTGTATTTCATTACAGCATCCTTCCTTTCTAGCTTACAAGAGTAAATGTAAAGTTCATTGAAAAAAATCTCTTTGTTCACTGTCTGTGGGAAGAGTAAGAGTTGCACTTTGAGTGGTACCAACAGTAATTTCTGATTTAGCCTTTGTTCTACTGTATAAATAACAAGCATGACCTGCAGACCTATGGTACCAGATTACCAAGATTAACTCCTGCAACCCACCAAGGCGTCCAGTGTATCATGTTAAGGTCACTGTGGGATTCTATTTTTTTCATTTCTTTTCTCATACGATGTATCCTGATTATAGTTTCCTCTACCTCTACTCTTCCCATCTCTCCTCCCTTCTGGGTCTACTCTGTGTCTCACATTAGAAAAGAACAGGGTTCTAAGAGATAATCAAACATAATAAAATGAAATAAAAGATGAAGCAAAAACTATCATATAAAGTTGGACACAGCAACCCAAGAGGAGGAGAAGAATCCCAAGAGCAGGCACAAGAGTCAGAGACCTACTCCTGATCATGGTCAGAAGTCCCATAAAAATACTAAGCCAGTAGCTATAATACATATGCAGAGAACCTGGTACAGACCCCCTGTAGACCTCGCGCTTGCTCAGTGTGCCTTTATTAATTCAGAGGTCCTTGTTCTCCTGGTGTCCTCCACCTTCTCTTTCCACATCTGATTCTACAGATTCCCTGAGCTCTGAGGGGAAGGATTTAATGGAGATCTTCCATTGAGACTCTCCACATGCTTGGAGGGAGAGATTTTTTTTTTTTTTAAAGACCAGTATGTGTGGTTTTACCCTAAGTCTTTGGACTACCTAACCTGTGGTTCTAGGTTACTCAAGCAGTGTCGTGGTGTCAGATATGAGTTCCATCTCATGGGGTAGGCCTTAGGTCAAATCAGATTGGTTGGCTAACTCTCACAGGTTGCGTGCCACAATTGCCCTAGCATATTTTGCAGGTCAATGGTTTGGAAGCTGGGTACCCTGCAGAGTACCTTCCTTCACCAAAGAGACTAGAACATAAGGATCTTTTTTCCATGAGTTGTGTGGATGTTTTCCTCAGCAATGGGGGCCCTGGTAACAGTCTACAGAGAGCAACTCTTTTGTCTTAGCAACAGCCTGGGTTGTTTGGGGATTTCCCTGGGAAACACTTGGCCAATTCAATTGAATGTAGCCCAGTCCCACCACTGGAAGCCTCCCCTGGCAACAAGAGATGGACAATTGAGACTTCATAGCCCCCCTTTACTAGGAGTCCTCATTAGGATCACCTTCATATATGCCAGGATGTTTACACTGTATTAGGTTTCCACATCATCCCTTAAAGCACCCTCCCAATTCTAGCCATCTCTACCTCCACCCACCCCACCTTCCCCTCTACCAGATCTACTTCTTTCCCATCCCGACCTGCACCCAGTTTGCCCTAAAAATCTATTCTGTTTCCCCCTCCCAAAGAGACCATGCACCACCACCACCCTCGCACCCCTCCTCTTTACCTAACCTCTCTGGGTTTATGGATTATAGCCTGGTTATCATTTACTTAATGACTTATGTCCACTTACATGTGAGTAAATACCGTATTTATCTGAGTTACTGTACTCAGGTTTAATTTTTTCTAGTTCTATTTACATGCAAATTTCATGTTGCCATTTTTTTAAATAGCTGAGTAATACTCCATTTTCTTTCTCCATTCTTCTGCTGAGTGACATCTAAGTTGTTTCTAGTTCCTGGATATTATGAATAAAGCTGTGATGAACATGGTTCAGCAGATGTCCTTGTTAGGAGGAGAGTCCTTTGGGTATATGCCCAGGAATAGTATAGTTGAATCTTAAGGTAGATCAGTTCCCAACTTTCTGAGAAACCACCATACTGATTTCCATAGTGGCTGTACAAGTGTGCACTCCCACCAGCAATGGAGGAGTGTTCTCCTTGCTCCACATCCTCACCAGCATGAGCTGTCAATTGTGTTACTGATTTTAGCCATCTGATAGGTGTAAGATGGATTTGTATTTCTCTGTTGGCCAAGGATGTTGAACAGTTCTTTAAGTGGGAATTGTTTTGTTCTGTAGTCCATTTTTCATTTTATCATTTGGTTTTGTGCTATCTCGTTTAAGTTCTCTGGTTATTAGTCCACAATTGGATGTGGATTTGGTAAAAATCTTTCCTCATTTTGTAGCCCGCCACTTTGTCCACTTGACTAGTTTTATATTGAGGTCTTTGATCCAGTTGGACTTGAGTTTTGTGAAGGATGATAAGTATGGGTTCATTTGCATTCTTTGACATGCGGGCATCTAGCTTGTTCAGCACCATTTGTTGAAAATGTTGTTTTTTTTTTTCCTAGTGTAGCTTTTTTTGTTGTTTTTTAAATCAAAACCCAGCAGTTTATTATTGTTCAGGGTTATTTTAGCCATCCTGGTTTTTTTGTTTTGTTTTGTTTTTCCTTATTAGGCTGAAAATTGTCCTGTCAATGTCTGTAAAGAATTGTGTTGGAATTTTGATGGGGATTACACTAAATCTGTAGACGGCTTTCGGTAAGATGGGCATTGTTACTATGAGAGATCTTTCTTCTGATATCATCTTCAATTCTTTCTTCAAATACTTGAATTTCTTGTCACATAAGCCTTTCCTTGCTTGGTGCTGTTTTCCTGATTTCCTTCCCTGTCTGTCAGTTGCCTATAGGAGGGGTTCTGATTTTTATTTATTTATTTATTCATTTTTAATTAATCTTGTATCCAGCTGCTTTGTTGAAACTGTTTATCAGCCGTAGGAGTTCCTGGTAGAATTTCTAGGGTCATTTATGTACACTCTCATATCACCTGCAAATACTTTAGGTTTCTTCCTTTCCAAATTGTATCTCTTTGGTTTCCTTCAGTTGTCTATTTGCTTTAGCTAGAACTTCAAGTACTAAATTGACTAGATATGGAATGAGTGGGCAGCCTTGTCTTCTTCCTGATTTTAGTGGAACTGTTTTGAGTTTCTCCCCATTTAATTTGTGTTGGCTATTAGCTTGGTGTAAATTGCCATTATTATGTTTAGTTATGTCCCTTGTATCCCTAATCTCTTTATTTATGGTGTTAGATTTTTTTTGTCAAATGCCTTTCCTGCATTTAATGAGATGATCATGTGGTTCTTTTCAGTTTGTTTATATGGTGGATTATACTTACAGATTTTCATGTATTGAATCATCCCTGCATCTCTGGAATGAGTCTACTTTGGATGATCTTTTTGATGTGTTCATGGATTCAGTTTCTAAATTTTTTATTGAATATTTTTGTATCATTGTTCATAAGGGAAAATAGTCTGTAATTCTAAAAGTTCTATGTTGAGTCTTTATGTGGTTTAGATATCAGGTTAACTGTGGCCTCATAAAATGAAGGTTCCTTTTGTTTCTGTTTTCTGGAATATTGAGGAGTATTGACGTTAACTCTACTTTGGAAGTTTAGTACAGTTCTGTGCTAAAAATATATGGCCCTGGGATTTTTTGGTTGTTAGAATTTTAATGACTGCTTTTATTTCCCTAGGGGTTTAAGGTTTCTTTGTTTTGTTTATTTGATCTTGGGTTTAATTTTGGTAAATGGAGAAAATTAGCCATTTCTTTTAGAATATCCAATTTGGTGGTATAAGCTTTTATTTAATTTTATTTCATATAAAATATATATGTATTATTATAATTCTCTGGATTTCATCAGTGTCTCTTGTTATGTCCCCCTTTTCATTTCTGTTTTTGTTAATTTGGATATTCTCTTGTCTATTAGCTAGTTTGGAATAAGGGTTTGTCTATTTTGATTTTCTAAAAGAATCAACTTTTTGTTTCATTGATTCTTTGTATTCTCTTTGCTATTTTTCATTTCAGCCCTCAGTTTGATTATTTCTTGCTGTCTACTCTTGGGTGTGGTATTAAATTGCTATGCTAGTATGAGATCACTCCAGTTTTTTATATAGGCACCCAATATTGTCAACTTTTCTCTTAGCAGCCTTTTACTGTGTCCCATAAGGTTGGGAATGCTGAGTATTATTTTCATTTAATCATAGTCTTTAACTTATTTTTGTTTTGACCCATTTTTATAGGTCAGTAGTAAACTGTTCAGTTTCCTTGAGTTTCTAAGTTTAAGTTTTCTGTTGTGAATAGGATGCAGGGAGTTACTAGTTTTCTTCTATCTGTTGAGATTTACTTTGTGTCCAAGTATGTGATCAGTTCTGGACAAAGTTTCATGAAGTAGAGAGAAGGTAGAATCTTTCATGTTCTTCTTTTTAAAAAAAATAGGTTCTTACTATTAATACATACAAATTATGCTTAAGTATGTAATATGCTTGAGCCTTTTTTAATCAACTCTTTGTTTCCATGGGTTAAATATGTCCTGATTTTTTTTTATCTTGCTCTAACATTTAATTTGACCTTAATGTACTTTATAGAAACAAATTGCAATCCAAGTCTACTAAGCATCATTGGCTTCAATACCACAAACCCTATCCCAAAGGACGGGCAGTCCGTTCAGTGGTGGCATCCCCAAGGGATTATAGGACTGGTTCTCTTCCTACTGTGTGTGTTTTATTCAAGGTAAGAAAGTCTGTAAACTATACTTTCAGGTGGTGTATTTGTGTAGATTAAGGAATTATCTATTTTTAAAAGTTGTTTCTATCCCTGACTTTTTCATGCAGTATCCGTACCTCCAACAATAGTCAGGTTAATAAACTGACTCTAACAAGTGATGAGTCAACACTAATAGAAGACGGGAATGCCAGAAGTGATGGATCTTTAGAAGATGGAGATGATGTGCACCGAGCTGTAGATAATGAAAGGGATGGCGTCACTTACAGTTACTCCTTCTTTCACTTCATGCTTTTCCTGGCTTCACTTTATATCATGATGACCCTTACCAACTGGTACAGGTACTTAGATTTCATGTTAACTTCAGGTAATTTTGGTGGTTTTTTCATGACTCTGTTGTAAAATATGTGACAGTAAGTACTTGAGTATGCATGTATGTGTGGATGTTTATGTGTAAGTAGGTGCATATGTACCTGGTGTGTGAAGCCAGAGATGGAACTCACGTGTATTCCTCAGGTACTGTAGAACAGTGATATGGAACACCAAATAGACTAGGCTAGCTAGCCAGAAAACTCTAGTGATTATCTATTTCCACCATTACCCTGCTAGAATGATAAGTGAGTGCCTCTGTATCTGCCTTATTAAAAATGTGGTCTCTGGGAGTCAGAATACAGTCTTTATGTTTTTGCAAGGCAAGCCATTTATTTCTCAAGCGCCAAAGTACTTTTTAATCCTCTGATGTATTTCAATATTTAGTTAAAATTAATTCTGAGAGAATGAGAAATGCCGGTTTTACTTCCTTAACAAACAAATGGGGTTGTTCAAATTTTGAAGACAGTTAAATAGGAAACTATATATAACCATGTTTTAACAGAAATGCATGTTAATAGTTGATTTGACATACTGTTTAAATTTTTAATTCTGTAAATTTATTGCTAACATACTATAGTAATAGTATACAGTTTTAAAAGCAATAATTCTTTTAAAACTAAATCATTAAACTGGGCTGGTGAGATAGATGACTTTAATTAAGAGCTCCTTTTCCAGAGGTCCCAGATTCAATTTTCAGCACTCATATGGTACTCAAAATTTTTGTAACACCAGTTCCAGATCTGATAATCTTGTGTAGACATGAGCACCATATGCAGAGTCAGAGGCAAAACAATCATACACATATAATAAAGTATTAGGGACAAGATAGCAGCTAAAAAATTGTGAATGCAAATCATTGTGATTTATTTTTAGTATTCTCTTAACTATGTTTATTATCCCTTCAAAATTAATTCATACTTTCATAAATAATAAAAGTAACGAATTATAGTTTGTTTTTAAACTTTGTCTAAAATGATTACCAAAAGATTCCTCACAAGCCTGATATTGGCCTATATGGTTGGACAAGTTTGTTTTCAGTAATTTTTAACGCATGTCTTTAAATAGTATGAAAGACTATTTATCATACCAGCAAAGGGTCGAAAAAAATATTCTAACCTGATGTTTTTGAGGCTAGTGCTTACTCATTTTTATTATGAAAGTGGATTTTATCAAATTCTTAAACTACATCTTACTTAGTTAAGATGTATCTCTCAGTAATCAGTAGCTTTAACTGTCAAATAATAGTAAATACTAAAAAAAAATTAGTTAAAAGAGATGTATATTTGTTTGTATGCAAAAATCAGCTAACTTCAGGATATATTTCCTTCCCCATCTGAAGTGGCATTAGCTGAGAGGGAGGCCCATAAACCTTCCAGTTTTATATATAATGGTCACATGTTATTTACTCAGGTCTCATCTGCTCCTATTTAATATCATGTAAAATTATATATGATGCCTCAGAACTGTGTGAAAAATCTACGTCAGAGTTCTGTGCTGTGCTCAAAGAAAGTCTTCCTGATGCATCAGTACGGAAGGCATGGCAGCAAGATGAGCAGCTCCATACAAAGGAAGCCTGTGTGAAGGGACTTAGTAGCTTGATGACTTAGTAACACAATCCATTCACCAAAGTAGTCACTTCTGTATTTCCTCAAATTTTAGGTATGAGCCTTCTCGTGAGATGAAGAGTCAGTGGACAGCAGTCTGGGTGAAAATTTCGTCCAGCTGGATTGGCATCGTGTTGTATGTTTGGACGCTGGTGGCACCACTTGTTCTTACAAATCGTGATTTTGACTGAATGGGACTTCTGGCATGAAAGCCCATCTTTGGTCATTGTTTATTTGACATTAACAGTATTCCCAGTTTTTGTAAAGTTGTATGTGTTGTTGTATAACTTTTTCTCTTGCATGAATTAGATTTACTCTGCCATTTTATCCACGTTCTTGCTTAGTATATGGATGATACGGATTGCAAAGGGAGAATTTTGAATAAGGTGGTAAACTAAGGAAAGATAGACACTGATAGGCATTATCTGCTCTGTACATATGAAATTAAAAGTGAAAAACAAGAATTCTTGACAGTTGTTTTCAAAATTGTTAGAGCTTATGCTGTTTTAGAAACATAACAATGGCTGCCTTTTGAAATACTTGGTGTGTTGCCTTACAGAATACAGCAAACACCTGTTCTGAAATTACGTAAATAAGTCAAAGCTAGTTGTCTAAAAAATGCAAATTACTTCAGGTTTGTCAGGATGTTCTCTTACTAGGTACAGAATGTTCACATTCAGTGGAAAGAGTTTAGGATACCGAGGGAGGCTACGGAACAGATAGGAGCCTTCACAGAAAGTCTCTGGTAGTAGGCTTTAAAGTGGATATACTCTTAGATCATGAGATCTAAGATCATGACTTTCTCTTTAAGAAAGGGTGGCCTTTACAAACATACAATTATGGATTTCATAGAGTTGTTAGCAGTTCTGAAACATTTACACAAGGTTTTGAAAAGGAAAATCATGTTTGAAAATTTTTAAACTAAACATTTGCAAATCAAAGCTGAGAAAGCTCTAACAGGACGTGAGGCCGTAGGCTCTGCGTTAGGTACTGAAGTCCACCTCTAGAGAGAAGCTGAAGCACAGGCTGAGTCAGCCAAATAGCTGGTTAGTGGCAAAGTTGAGAAATTCTAAGTTTGCCAATACTAGCCAACATACTAAAAACTTTTGTATCTAAAATACATAATTCACTTCATAAATCATCAATGGTAGATAACTTGTGTGATGTGTATTGCTGCTCTTCAGCATGCTTTTTATCCAAACAGGAAGGCCAGGAGTATAATGAACTTGTAGAATAGACTACTTACATTATATTACACTACACATTTAAACATGTTTAAAATGTTTGTATTTACTGCCATGTAATTGAGGAAATAGTCAACTTGAAAATCAGTATGCCACTTAATTTAGATAAAAATGCTTATTTATGTGTAAATTAGCACCAAGTAAAGCTTATATTTGCTTCTTTAAAAATATTTATTCTGCACATGGAATATAATTCCTGTTAATTTCCCAAACTTACTCTGTGTTAATACTGTGTTTCACAATTTTGAACTGCTGTGTTCTGCCTCTTAAATAAATGAATTCAAAGAAAATATGTGGTGGTAGTTCCTTAGCATTGGTTCCTTAAAACATTAGGTGGCTTGAACTCAAGATTTCTGTTTTCCTTTTTGAAAAGTACTTGGTTCTAGAGAAAATGCCCACTTTCTGCTCTGATAAATGAATTATTTTGAAAGTAATTTTACCTCTTTTGTCTGTAAATGAATCCTGAAGTTGGGTTTCAAAAGTAAAAGTGGTGTTCTTACCCTTAAAGAACCTTCAGTAGGGGAGCCAGGTCAGTCTGGAGAATGGATTTTAGTTCTCAAAACTGAAAATGCACACCTCTTATGTCCTCCACCAGCCATGTGTTTTAAAAGTTGTGGTCAGTGTGGTGAATATAACTGGTCTCAGGGTTTCTGTCACTGTGATAAAACCTTGACCATAAACAGCTTGGGGAAGAACCTATGCAGAGGCTATGAGGAAGTAAGTAAGAGTGCTGCTTATTTACTGGCTTGCTCCCTATGATTTGGTCGACCTGCTTTTATACCATTCCAGGATGGGCTGGGCCCTCCTACATCAATGACGGAAATAAACTCTATCTAGTACATAACTGTACTGATAAAATACCTCTGTCCGTGAATTACATGAATTTTCTATCACTATAAAGGAATATAGGTAAGAACTTAAGACTTTGTCAAGTTATCATGCCCACAAGGCCCACTACTCCTTAGTATTCTGGGAACTATGCCATCAACATGGGAATATTTGACAATTATAGGAGTTGCCAAACTTTGGTATATTTTGTTTCAAAATTCTTCACTGAGTTTCTACAGTATTTGGCAGGTAATTGTGTGTGGGGGAGAGACAGACATGGTGTGGGAGAATGGTCAATATTCTGTCAATCATATTCTAAATAAACGCTGATTGGCCAGTAGCCAAGCAGGAAGTATAGGCGGGTCAATGAGAACAGGAGAATTCTGGGAAGGAGGAAGCCCATTCCTCTGCAGTCTTTGCCCAGCCACAGAAGCAAGATGTGACTGCCTCACTGTATAAGGTACTGAGCCATGTGGCTAACATAGACAAGAATAATGGGCTAATATACAGTATAAGAGTTAATAAGAAGCCTGAGCTAATGGGCAATCAGTTTATAGTTAATGTAGACCTCTGCAACTTCTTTGGGACTTAACAACTGTGGGAACCAGGCAGAACGAGGACTGGGCAGGACAGAAACCTCGGACAACAGAGACAGACAGACTTGAGGCTAGAGGAGGGCATTGGATTCTCTGGATCCAGTTACAAGTGGTTGTGAACTACTTGACTGGTGCTGGGAACTGAATTCTGGTCTCTCTGGTCACTAAAGCAGTTTGTAATAGCCCAAACTAGTGTGTGACTGACAAAACATGGGGTACAAGTGGTACAAGTAGTAAGGAAGCAAGTAATAACTCAAAATCTGGGTGAGTATAAAACAAAAACTTTGGAAATTGCTTTTTAAAATACTACGTGTAGTTTGCCTTTGCAAACCAAACTCTAACCTATAGCAAAGTTAATAATAGATGTTGAGAGCATTTGTAGCTGTATACCCAATTCTGTTTAAGGTAACTTTCAATAAAAACAATATAATCCATCTTATACTTTGGAACCCATTGATTGGTGTACCTACCATACTCCCTATTTTTCTTTGTGGCCCAATTTTCCCCCTGAGTATGTATGTAAGATGTCATGGCTAGACCAAAGACTATTTGCTGGAGACAGCCAGGGTCAAAAGAAACAGTTCCCCTATTATCTAAGTTTCTTTTCAGATTAAAACAATGCATCCTATAGTAAGAAGCTCTTAAGCAGGAAGAAAAACTTAGAATTGCTTCAGAAGTTCTTAAAACCAAAATCACAAGGCCCCTTCCTGCCATAATAAGCAATTTGAAAAGCAGAAAAGAGCTAAGCTGCCAAGATCCAGACAGCCCTAGCTGCCTGGAAGAAGCAAAAACCAGCTGGTCTGAGAAAGGGGTTCAGACCAACTGAGTCACTTGGAAAGGGCACTGTCCAACCTGTACCTCCTTCCTTTTACATATTTGCTGTGCTGTTCAGTAATGTACAACATTTATACAGGAGAAAAGACCCGAATTCCTCTAAACAGATCAGGCCTAATCTTTTGTAAGGTGGCACCTAGGATCAGTTTCATTTCTAGTTTGCCTGTTACTTTTAGCATTTGTCTAATCTGATATTTTTCTTTCAGAAAAATTAAACATGGCCTGATTGCTGTGGGACAACGCTCTTGTATTGGTTTAATAAAATGCTGATTGACCAGTAGCCAGGCAGGAGGTATAGGCAGGGCAACCATATAGGAGAATTCTCGGAAGGGGAAAGGCTCAGCCTGCAGTCATCACCCAGACACTGAGGACACAAGATGAGAATGCTTCACTGATGAAAGGGCCCTGCAGCACAGAAACCTCTGTCAACACCTGATGACTAGCCAAATTCAGATATATAATTATGAAGGTTAAAAGAATTAACATTTATTTTAACAAATTCTCCTTTATATTAATACACATTTGTTATATCAATAAAAAAATCAAAACTGATGCCCAGCAGCCTTTATAAACCTTGAATCCTGTTTATCCTAATAAAAGATATTTGTGTTACCTTTTTATGTTTAGCAGCTCACAAAATTAGACTATCACTGAACACTAAAAACTTTTAACAAACCAACTTCCAAAGCTCAGAAAATAAAGATGACTGATTAGTGTAAAGTGGGTATGCAGGAGGGCTGGGTAGCTCTATTATCTGATCTGGAAAGCCAAGTCTGTTCCTTTTATGAATGAGTATTTTTAGAAGCTGTACTTCTCTGCATGAAGCCAGAGAAGGAATAGAGGACTGAATGAGGGATGTCAGAAAAGAGCAGGAAAATGCTAGACTGGATTTCTCCTGTTAATTTATTAGATCTCTAATTTAGCACATGGAAGAAAATTTCTAATATTGAGGTACAATATGGCCAATAGAGAAGTCTTCTTGAAGTGCTTTACTTCATAAATATGTAAAATGTAGGTATTAACTGCACTACTTCTTGCCCTCTGCCTGAGTGTAGACTTCTTGAACTTTTAAAGTACCCTAGCCTTTCAATTCTTGAAAAGGACAAGTTGATTTGACTCTCTTGTATCAGGGCAAATAATATAGGCATTTGGTGGCATCCACTGATAATGTTCCCATCTGATTTGCAACGAGAGGATTTTTTTTTCTCTCTGTTCTTTATTAGAAACATAAAAAGCAAGCCAGTATACTTTTAAAACAAAGAACACTAAAATACATGAGAATAAAAGCATCATATTCCCTCATTACTGCAACAGACAATCTATGTTTTCAGATAAAGCACAAAGATCTTGACTTGAGTCACACTGAGATAAAGATGAACAACACATAGTTTAAAGCCACCTCCTTCCCATGAGAAGGAAAAATCATTTTATGTAGACACCACCTCCAAAGACGACACAACAAATACTAGTACTCAACATTAGTCATATTTATTTTACTAAATACCATGGTTTAAAAGAACCAACCAGAAAACATACTTAAACTAGTCTAAGTGGACAGGGTTAATGCAACCTGTCTCCACGTTCTGTTTGTGGAGCTGGAATCACTTCTAAGTGATTACTCGTGTATACTTGGCCTTTTTTGTTGAGGCATTTCTCTGAACCAAAAGACATGAAACATTACAAGATACAGGCACTTTATGTTCCCAGTTTTAAAAATAAGCCTAGTTAAAAATACTTAACAAAAGTAACTAGACCAGAGTTTCCTACCTTTATTTCTAAACACTTTAACTGAATTGAAAATAAACAAGTTTAACTGGGATTAAATGGTCATATTTGCATATAAAAATCCAAATTACTACAATTGGAGAAAAATGGCCATTTGAATTCAACTTAATATATTCCAATAATGTGCATTAAAACTTATACACCTAAGCAGCCAAGTAACATCTGAAAGCTTTGCAAGAGTGTGGTTAGCGAGAAAAGCAAAAGGTGCTTTTATTCCACAGTATCTGATTAAACAAAAAGTAACTTACAAAACAAAGTACCAAATGATACTTTAAAATAAATACTTCATCATTTTGATGAATATATACATAGAGTGTCCACTGGGGTTTAACTATCTAAAAGTGGCATATCACTATCCAGAGGTGCAGGAGCAAGTTCACATAAATAAAACAGAGTGGCTTCACTAGCTTCGGCTTCAGTCAACGGTTCCAGGCGAACAAGCTTACTCTGGGTTGGCTCTTGGTCCGGGTTGCTGTCCAGAAGCCCATCAACTTCTATGGGTTTATCTACAGAGGGTATAACTTCTGATGTCACTGTTGTAGTCCCCTGTTCAATAGCCGAAGCAGAGTTCCCATCGAGGAATGCGAGAAGTGGAAAGGCAGTATACTGGATAAGTTGTTTATCTATAAAGATCAGAAAAATATTTTATATACCCAAATAAGAAATTGTATACTTTATAACACTAAGTTTTAAAACATTTAAGCCAGGAAAGTTAACCTAATTTCAATTTAGCTATAACATTTGTCTTTTAATGTTAAAAAAGGCAAAAAATTCAAAGTACAGAAACCATTACCTCAGCATTTACATTTTGCTTTGATACTAGAAACTTGAAACACCACCACGAAGTCAAGGCAGCAGTCCGTCTTTTTGTATGGAGTTTGTTTTCTGTAGTGCTGAACTACAGAATTGTAGGACTGAACCCAGCGCTTTGCACATGCTACATAAGAGCCTAGCCCATTCAGTTGTTAGGTATGACAATATTTCTATGGTTTGCATTTAATTCTGTATTGAAACTCAAACAAACCAAGCAAAATAACAAAAAACGTCCTACAGGAATTCAGACTACTTGCATACCTACCTGGTTTGGACTTGGATTTCCTCCCGTCTTCTGAAACTTGTTGAATGACAGTGCTCTTGGTAGTTTCTAATACCTTATTCTCAGACTAAAAAATAATAATAATAAATTATAATATAAAAACTTGTTTTACATCTTTAAGGGTACCAAAATTTAAAAACTGATAAAATAATATCAACACATTTAAAATATACTGGAAGGGGGAGCACCAGAAAGGATGAACTAAAGAGGAAAATCTCACTGGAATTAACCAGACTGGCTAAGAAACTTGTCCTTAGGGTTAGAATAAAGTACACAAAAATAAAAGAGAAAAAAAAGCATTTCAGTACAGGATAGAAAGAATTGTCAAAGACTAAAGACAGGAATAAATCAAATACAGGTGGTATCACATGCTAATGAGGATAAAATTAAATATACATTTTAAACAGTTTTGATTAGAAATGCATCGCATAATATTCTTCATGTGACCAGAAGAGCTAGCAGAGAAAAATGCACTCAACAGTTGCAAAGGGTGACACAGTGACTTCTATGTAAACATCCCTGCTCTTGGAAGCCTCAACTGTGATGGCTTCTTCTTGTCCTTAGGTTCTTTAATTTCATTTCTGTTGATTCTTCAGGCACTGTCTTCTTCCGTTCTGATTCTAAGAGGACTTACATCTACAATGTTGCTAAGATGTCAGCCATCTTTTCAGCAGTGCTCAAACTCTGAGTTGCAGACGAAGCTCAATTACTTCTGATAATCCTAAGTACATTTCTACATGCTGTTTATGTATGGGTTAACAAACATGGAAAATTCCTACATTCTTCTGGTAGAAGTAAAGCATAATGACCATAAGATGAAAACTAAACCATTACAAATATTTAAGTAAAAGTAGTTCATCATTTAGAAGTCATAATACGCAAATGTTAATACATTTTATTCTCCTTGAAAAAGGTATTTACCAAGGATGCTGCTGTTGGTACTCTAATCTGAGAACCAAGATTATGAATTTATTTTTTTTACCATCCATGTTCTTATTCATTTAGTAGTGGCCACTCAGCACTAAGGAGTAAAAGGTATCCAGACTAAGAAAATATTATGTTACAGGTCCATATACCCTTGTCATGGGCAAAAGGATAAGTGATAAAAATACCAAATTTGCAATAACTCTGGAATCAGACTGTAATAAAACATCAGCCTTAAAATATATTTTTCATAAGATCAGAAAGCAATATGCAATTTTCTGTTTCTGATTATTTCTGAAAATTCTAAGTTTTTTGTTTCTAGAATAAAGAGGATTATCGAAGAACAATGACTCAGTTTTAGCAATAAACAGCAAAGCATATCACTAAATTAAAATACGATGTGACTTAACACTCAATATACTGATAAAATATTCATACTTTAAGCCTAGGTAAATGGTAGTGAAATTCGGCTTACTGCCTGCTTTGATTTATAATGTCCATCAAAACACTGCAACACATTCTTATATGCATTACCCATACCTGTTTAACCTATAATTACAGCATTCACAGTTGTGACATAGAACACCCATAAAACCTAGTAGGTTTGGCTGTTTACAGAAATAGTGCACCATATATCAATAACCCAAACAATGCACAATGAATGTCCTACTCTACAATTTCAGAGTTCTGAGAGGCTCTGCATCAGACAAGACAAACCTTCAAAATAGAGGAAAACTGGCCAGGTGATCTCCTTACATATGACAATAGAAAATTTCAACTTATCAACTCTATAATCATTCATATTTATTTGAGATGTGTCATTTTTAGATTAATAGGACAAGAATGTAACTGACTTCACTAATTCAGAATTTGAACTTGATTTGTTTTGTAATCAGTAAAAAAAAATAAAGATAATTAGGTATACATATTAGATATGGGGAGTAAATTAGTCAAGGTAATTAAGCTATATAAAAATTTATAAGCATCTGCCATAACAGATTGTCCTTAAGAATCTCCTATGAATTTGCTAAGTCCAACTGGAGCTCCTATTTGTTGAAAAAGTTCTTTTGGTTAATTAAAAAAAAAAAAACTTTATACAGGTAAAGCTCCTAGCCAACAAAATTTGCCTTTGCTTTAGCTAGTTTTTAATTAATAGACCTAAAGAAGAAAAATGAACCAGTTATTTTCAACTGAAAAAGCTGAGAAATTGTTTATGGAAAGAAAGAATATAAAATGCAGAAATTAAATTTTAATTATTTTTGTTTCAAAGAAGTATCTGAACAAGCCAAGGCCAGGTAATTTCCCAGCACTGAGGCCAATTTTCACAGAGAGTGAATCCCACATGTACCAGCAGAGTCGGGCAATGAAGATGACCCCAGAACCAAGTGTTAATTTTCCATCTAGTACTTTACTATCTCAATCACGCATTAGGTAAGAATATAAAATGTTTTCTGTAATTGAGAGTGCTACTGCTTTCTATCCATGTGTACTAGGACTTTTTCAGATGTTTATAGCTATGGGTCCTGAGCAACATGAATTAAAACTTACTTTTGTATTATTGATGTAATCTGTGGGATTCATCTGCACAGAACTAGTGAAAAGCTGAAAGACCAAACGAGAAAGATGGTAAGTTTAAAAAATATTTTAAAAGATTTGTGTGTTAAAAATTTTTATACAACCATGTTGAGTGAAGGGATGTCACTCCTACACTATGAGGTTTCCACAGATTGAAACAAGTTTGGAAAAGCGAGAAAGCAGAAAGAAAGCAAAGGCAGAGCAAGCTGGCCATGCACTAGATGGAATTTTATGCTGTAAGGGTGTCTGTACAGGGTGCAAAGCATTTGAGATAGTTTCCCACAATTCCTATCCCTTAATCTCTATTTAATTTCATATCTTTTCTCTTCCTAAACGTCCTGGGGCATATGTAGCACCAAACGCTGTCTCATGTCTTGAAACTAGGCATTCCTATAATACCTGCTAATTACATGACAAAATCAGAACCTACTGGGACAGTGAAACCTAACAAACACATCAGGTGGAGCCTCTGACAAAACACCTACTTCATTTTATTTTCCACGTATCAAGGGAAGATGTTAAGTGTCAAAATAATGCCAATGAGTTGTACTCATAGCCCAGACAACTCATAAATACAACTTTAAGTCATAAGCTTCAAAATAAGAATCATTGACACCCCCCCCCAAAAAAAAACCATTATTTCTGCTCTCTAGGAGCTTACAATCTGAAAGACAATGCTAACATTAAATAGTCTACTCATAGACAATCCAGTTTCACAATTAGTAGAGCTTAAATACACACTAGAGAGCATGGAGAACAAGAGCAAAGGGAAGCACAGACGCGGGCATACACAAGATGGCGCTATGTCCCAAGAGGACGGTCTGGAAGACAGTACTGAGTTACTACTGTAACACCAAGAGGTTACAGCATATTCTAGAAATGGTTAAGAGCAACGCAAATAACAGAAGTTCTGACTTGAACAGTTCTAGACAAAAGTTTAGAAAAAGCAGTGCAAAGCCATTCAGTGCATGAGTTCAGGTTCTACCATGAATAAGATCCCTAAGAATAGACTGAGCACTGAAACAGACATTAGGTCCATATTTTAGAAGAATACCAAAGCCAGTGGTTCAAATAATGAAATGCAGAAATCATAGTTATCACAGTTATCCTTCTTTCATTCTCTCTCTCTTTTTATAAACCAATGAATGTATTGGAGTTATTTATAAGAATACAGGAATGTGGGTGAAGGGTTACTTTCAGGGAAAGACTCCTTTCTTTAAAGACCACAGTTGTCAAAAAAAAAAAAAAAATCCTTGGATCGCTTCTGTTATTTCCCTCTCTTTTCATATCACCCACTGACTACTGAAGAGGTAAGGAGCTCAAATCTTTCACAGCAGGTGACTATGACTATTCTAGAGAAGTCTGATGTAATTTTGTACCTACAGACAGGGTGGTACCTGAATAAGGTCAGCAATGTTTTATCCCTTTCTGCCTCAAAACCCTATTCATTGACTTAGGAGTATCTCATACATACTCCAAGATAGATGGTACAAAATATACACAACCAATTCACATATAAGGAACTGACACAATTTCGTGAATTCTAAGGCTCAATGATTTCCTATTGGCTCCACCCTGATATAAGAAAGAACTGAACTTGATAAAGAGAAGCTAGAACTCTACAATGCATTTGGTTTATATCTTGATTATCTTCACCATCCATTTCAGAGAACGAGGCAGCCAGGGGTAGATTTTAAAATTTATGACACTATAATCTAATTCATGAGAGAGATAAGTCTTGGTTGAGTAAAGTTAAAATACAAATTAAGGTAGTTTGTCAATGCTGTTTTGAAAAAAGTATCTAGTGATGAGATAAAGAAAATCAAAGTGATTCTGGTAATATATATCCCAGGAAAGTTAATATTACTGTAAAAATTAAGAATGCTGTAAATGGGCATTGTTTTCAGGAATACAGAAAATTTTGGCATTGAACTTAAATAATCTAAAGACAGGCAGATAAGGCATCCCAAAGTCACGGAGTAGGATTTAAGCCAAGTTTGCATTTAAAAGTATTAAGAACCAGAGAACCAGAGATACATACATTTCAGAACAGGATAATGTCAAAATGTCTTCAAAGAGGAAGAACAGAAAGACAAGAAATAGGAAAGAGAAAAAAAAAAAAGGATACAAAACGGAGTGCCCCAAAGTAGAAGACATCAGAAAAAAGAAAAGTTCTTCTGGAAATAGAATTGATTAGGAAGACAAAAGAAAGATGTGAGACCCTCATACAGAAGACACCTATAAGCCTAGCACATGGGAGGCAGAAGCTTAAATACAAGGCATTCTGTGTTATAAAAGATCTTGTTTCAAAAGCAAAAACAAATCCTCTTGTAGACTACTCTATAGTACTAAAATACAGCATTCATAGTAGGGTTAGTTATTTGTAATTCCTCCAATAGCTCTTCCTGTTAAGCATTAGCCCTATTTAATAGATGAAGAAACTGGAAAGACCACCTTTCCATGCTGGGGATGAAGTTCAGTTGATATTGTCTGAGTAGCATGCATCAAAGTCTGTGTTTAATCACCCCAAAGTGTAAAGCAAAAGTAATGATCTAAGGGTACATGCCTGTAACCCTACCACTTAGGAGGGAAGCAGATTAGAAGTTCAAGATCATCCTCAGCTACACACCAAGTACAAAAATGCATGAAACCCTGTCTTAAAAAAAGAAAGCTAAGTTTTCTAAGGCCAGTTAAATATTAAGAAGCACTATTCAAACCATGTGGTGGCGGCACATGCCTTTAATTTCGGTACTCATGAGGCAGAGGCAGATGGATCTCTAAATTCGAGGCCAGCCTACTCTACAAAACCTAGTTCCAGGACAGGCTTCAAAGTTACAGAGAAACCCTGTCTCTCTCTCTCTCTCTCTCTCTCTCTCTCACACACACACACACACACACACACACACAGAGAGAGAGAGAGAGAGAGAGAGAGAGAGAGAGAGAGAGAGAGAAAGAGAGAGAAAGAGAGAGAAAGAGAGAGAGAGAGAGAGAGAGAGAGAGAAATAACTCAGACTTTTCTAATTCAAAACAAGTCATCTTTCACCAGTCCAGCAAAAGAAAACTAAAGCAAAAACAAACCCAGAGGGACAGAAAAAGAGAGACAAAGACAGACAGACAGACAAACAGACACACACACCCAAGGACAGAAAACTGAATTGGGTTAAGGAGGCATTAAGTTATTTTCTCTAACAAAGGATACAAAACTGCAAAGAGCCACAGCTTGAAGCCTGGAGCACAGTGAATATTTAAGTTTGAATACGAATTCTATAAATGTTCAACATAAAATTAAATGGATCCAAAGACCACAGAATTGTAGATAACATAAACGACTATATTTTAACACCCACATTCAGACTTGGGAATGGGTCTGATGGACTCAAAAAGGACTGTTAGATTATTGCTGTCAGGCTGAAATGGGTAGCACATGGCAGCTTAATTCACTTACCAAGATCAGCATGGCAAGGAAATCTTTAAAGAGTGAAATACAGTCCTGTGTGGTACTGACAATTGGGAAGGGTGTTTAAGCTATGTGGCAGACCAATTTTATGATAAGAGATGCAAATGATTAATTAACCAGAAATCAGACTGAAAAGTAAAAGAGGACTAATTCCTTTTAGCACCATTAAGAAGTTCTTAAAGTGGTAATACTAAGGATTCCTTTGATCTGAAAGAAAGTTCATTGTAAGGCAAAATATTTCTTAGAGGGGCTGGAGAGATGGCTCAGTGGTTAAGAGCATTGCCTGCTCTTCCTAAGGTCCTGAGTTCAATTCCCAGCAACCACATGGTGGCTCACAACCATCTGTAAAGAGGTCTGGTGCCCTCTTCTGGCCTTCAGGCATACAGACAGAATATTGTATACATAATAAATAAATAAATAAATATTTAAAAAAAAATATTTCTTAGAAAAACAGATCTTAGAAAGAGAGGAAAGAACAAGCTTTGCGTGAGTAGGACAAAGTTAGATGAATCTAGAAAGCTCTGGATAGGGTATCAAGAATGAAGAGAACAAAATCAAAATGGGTAAGAAGGTGTTAGGGCCTGAAACCAGAGAAAAGATTGTAAGTCCAGACAATATTGGAGTTAAGTTCACAGAGATGGTGACAAAGACTGGAGAAGAGAATCAGACTCAAGACATACAAAATATAACAAATATAATGAAAAGTATTTACTAGAAAATGTTAATTCCAAGTATTAACAAGTGTCTCTATGATACTCTGTGACTAGATGTATCTATTACTATTTTCAAAGATACTTTATTCAATGACAGTTTATTCTAGAATAAAATATACATAGAGTAACAAGTTTAGATAAAACTTGCACTTAGTAGTGGTAATACTGAAAAGAATGGGCAAGTGCTTCTCAGAGGTAGACAGTGGTCACACCCCAGTGCCCTATGTCCGCCTGTTACACTTCCTAATAAAAATCATTAAATAAGAAAAACGCAAAAAGTTTAGAATACAAAAAAAGTATCAACTTTAAACAATATATATAAGTACACAAACCACCAGTATAGTAAAGATTATGCAAAGTACCTACATCAACCAGGAGATCTGGGTCTATGCTAAATTGTCTTCCTGAGAGCATGGCTTGGAAGTCCTCTAAACTACAATCAATGCTGTCAAGGTAATCCAACAGCTCAACCCTAAAGAAAAAAAACAACAATTTCATATTTATTAAGTATTCTTGTTCTTCCATTCCAAACCACTGCTGGTGATCTAGCCCTACAGAATCATCCTAGTGACTCTTAAGTTCTTACAAGCTCTGAAAACATCCCATTTAAGATTTGTAATTTCTGAAAATTGAGAAACTCAAGTCTTTTACACAAATTTAGTATTTTCAGAAAAGATGTGCTAACATAAAGGTGTGCTTTCCCCTTTTTTCTTTATCTCTCTACTCTAAAACTCCTAATATTCACACTTACTCCTGTACTATAAATGACTACACTATTAATACAATCTGTCCCTTAAAAGAAATTACACTAGTATACAGAATTGGTAGAGTAGCACAAATACTTTCAAGAATTTTTAAAAATCTAAAGAACTGCTCAACAAAGTTCTAAGACTACTCACGGGACAGTTAGATCCCTTTGCCTATGGAGTTCAACTTTGATCAATAGAAAAAGAGAAAAGATGGGGTCAAGCATGTAAAAGGAAGATCACTGTACCACTATCATTATTGCTTTTGAATTTACAGAAATTTAATATCAACTTCAGGTTTATTATTGAACTAAATTATTAAAAAGTAATTAAAAACATCTAGATGAATACTCACTTTCCCAAGAGGTTAATGTTATCATTCAAAATGGAATCCATCATGGTCACAGGATCCTCTGAGGTTAGACCGGATGAGCCATTTATCTGGACTGCACTAGACATGAGGGAGCTGCTGCCAGCACTTCCCAAACTTAATGACTCTCTGGCTAGCTCATTCTGATCTGTACTCTGAATGACAGGAGCGTACTCGTCCTCATTGTCATCTTCAACAATTACAATGTCAGGATACTGGCTACAGCTAATCAGCAATATAAGAAAAAAATTACAATTTTAGAAAAGGCAAATTTATTTTCATTCTCTGATAAAATTCACAAAACACAGATTAAAACGTTTTCTTTTCTGGAATGAGTAGTTTAGACCAATTATGATAATTCGTAAGACAGAAAACCGCTAAGAATCAAGAAAAAAGGTTTAACTCCAAATAAAAATGATCTATTTTTCTATTCCCTCCCTCCCTTCTTCTCTTTCTTCCTCCCTCCCTCTCTCCCTCCCTCCTTCTTTCCTTCCTTCTTTCTTTCTTTTAGGGTTTCTCTGGTTCAATACTCCAAATATAAGAAAAAGATTAGTACTTCAAACCAAATATAGGAAAAGAATTATTTTTCAAAAATTTTTAATTTAGTCATTTGGTAAGAATAATGATGGATATTTTTCCAAATATTATCTAATGATCACTTACTTGGGATCAGATACAACATCCTCATTCGTTTCTGGAATAACTGGAATATTTTCTTCATCCGCATTATCATCAGTAACGTCATAAATAATTATATCATCTGAAATCCGCTCTTTTGACTTTAAACCTTCAGTCCTACTATGTGGAACCTAAAGAATCAGGAGAAAACAAGATCATATAGACTACTACAAAAGATATCATCAAATAAACAAACTGGATCCATCCTACTTACTAAATGTTGAGCATAGTAAACAAAACAGCTTTGTCCTCTGCCCTTCTGGGACTCACATACTAATGAGTTATTATAATATCATTTTTACAGTTATGAAGTATATATCCATATTCTACTTAGCAACAAGTTACTTTATTATAGGAGACCCTGAAGATGACATGCCCAAACCGTGCTTCTATGAAGATCTTCAAATTCTAAAGAACTTTTATAGATAGTGAACAGGTTCTGTCTTCAGAAATTTCAAGTATAATCACGTGGCCACTGTACTGACAGCAACTGTTCTATCTGAACCTGCTGGGTCTAAAGAGGTTTTATTCTTAGTTATTAAATAGCTTCACTAAGATATAGAAAGCTTCAACAATTCCACAGCTAAAGACCACTTCGGCTATTTTACTAACAACTTCTTTCTAATGTGAAGATGCAATTACAAAGGCAGTGTGATGGCCCAGGCTATTATGCAACTGAGGAAGCTGAGACAGGAAAATTCAAGGCCTGCCTGGATTACAGAGTGAGGTGGTGGGATCCTATCACAAAATGAAAAAAGGTAGCTGGGGATATACCTCAGTGGCACAATACTTGCCTAACAAGCATGGCACTCTAGGTTCAACCCCAAGGATCCAAAAAAGCAAAAGGAAAAATGTATAGGTACTTTCAGGTCAGTTACATTAAAAAGTTCAATTCCCTAAAAGTAAATTATAATGCAAAAATTTTTGAAGTTTGATATTAGATGACAAAGGTAAGAGATGTAAAGTGCTTTAAAATATACAAATTCTAGTTTAAAAAAATCATTTAAAATATATAAAACACTTGAAAAATACATAAATTTCAGTTAAACTAAAATGAACAAAAACCAAACCAAAACACTCATTTACTTCTATAAGCCTTCAATCCAAAAATCAAGTTACATCTACTTGGTTTAGAAAAAGAAGTGGGTGAACATTGTAATAAAAGTTAATTCTGTTTTGTACCAGAGAGCTAAAGATAAATAAAACCTCAACTGTTCAGTAATAAATATGACACAGTATTTAAAAATCCTTAACATTCAAACTAACAAGAGTGACACAGCATTTTCCTTGCTGTGTAAGAACTTAGATTTGATCTCTAGCACTATCAAAAAAAAAAAAAAAACAACAAAAACCAAAAAACCAGGATTATCAATCAGAGAGCAGTATCACAAAAAGAGGCTTAGACTAGTTTGATGGTAGACTAATAGGCAATTAGAAGTCTATAGAAAAACAGAAATATATAAAAATATTAGAAGTTGCCAGAGAAAAGCACCCTAATTAATACAAATTTATCATAGAAGATGAAAAGGAACTAGGCAGCAGGACTTCACACAGTTGTATCACACCGTGATGACATCATCACACTTTTTAATTTATACAAGATCACAACAAACGCCATTTGTTTTATCAATTTCAAAAGTAACAAAAAGGCTGTACTGCTGAGCTACAGCTCACTGCTACACTGCAGGCCTAGAAGGTAAAAGGCCTGCATTCAACCAATCCCTTGTACCAAGGAGGAAGTCATACTGCAGAGTATATAAATAATATCATTTATATAAAATTTAGATATATGCCAAATGACAACAGTATTCCTGAGTCCACACACATTAAACACCCATGGCAATAACAAATACTAAAGCTTGGAAATAACAACTATTTGTAATGATGTATTTCTTAAAATTACTCTAAAGCGAATAATGAAAACGTCATGCTTTAATAGAGCTGGGGATGAGCACTTACATTATTATTCACTAAACGTCTTTGACTGCATGAAACACTGCCATAATAAAATTTAGTTTGAGACAATAAATATAAAATACATTAAAATTTACTTTATGATGGTGACTATCAGTTGGTTCTTTGACTATGTGCTGAAATAGATTCTTCTTCTGAGCTCCATTAGTGTTTAGAAGAAGAGGCCTGTAAATAAGAATATTTATATAATTCCAAAAGAGAAAAAAATAAAAGAAATTTAATGTTTCTAGTAATTTGCTCACAACACCTCAAGCAAACTTACTTAAATGAACAAAAACCTCCAATAAAAATACAATAGAAATTCTTTAGAACTACTCAATTCCTTACAACATACACTTAGGTTTTTAAAGTGGTATCTTACAATTAAAGCCACAGACAATTATACACTACCACAAGATCTTGGCCTTCCAGGTCATCTTTTTTCCCTTCTATCTATGCCTTTTGTCAATTAGTCTTCTGGTTTAGGTGTAACAATGGCATTATGAGCTAACATATTTATAAGTAATACAGCCTATCATTAAGATTTTAAAAGATTGGGTCGACTTATATTTAAAATAAACCAAATATTTGGTTCTTTCCCTTCCTCACAACAAATGACATAATCTAAAGAGTTCTCCTCATTGAGACATAATGCTACTTTAAACTGTCAATACGAATGAAATTCAATTATCAGTAAGACCCTTGAGTCTGCAAACTGACCATCTAGTCTACCTTACTTCTCAAAAAAGCATCAGCATGAAGCTGGGCATAGAGAATAAATCGGCTGCATTTATCTCCAAAATCAGTAAACCTGTGAGCATTAATATGGCATGAATGCAAAAGTCACTTCTATTTACGTGACAGGCCATGGTATCAACGTAAAACCTCAACCCTTTTTTAGTACATAAAACTATCTCATGTACAAAATTACTGAAGATGTAATTACTTTCAGACCACATGAAGTATGCCTAACACATAAATAGATTTTGAGTTCAGACAGAAACTTTTAGTATGTAAATATCCCAAAATCTGAAGAAAATTACAATCTCAAAAGTGTCTACTTTCCTAAGCATTGTGATATCACTCTTGAAGCGCTAATATAATTTAACAAGCGGCACCTGTGCTTTGGTACCAGATGTATACTTTGCGCTAATATAATTTAACAAGCGGCACCTGTGCTTTGGTACCAGATGTATACTCAGCAAACACAGGTAGTCATGATTAAACACTAAAATGTTTGGAAGGCAAAAAAAAAAAAAAAAAAAAAAAAAAACTTACCTTTTACGTTTTAAACTCACAAGTTGATTATTCTGAACCAATGTAACAATAAACTGGACAATCTGAAAGGAAAATGTAAATAAAATTCTTTTATCAAAGATTCTATTCACATTATATCAAATCTTTTTTTGTTTTTTTTTCGATATGGTTTCTGTATATAGCTTTGGTTCCTCTCCCAGAACTAGCTCTTGTAGACCAGGCTGGCCTCGAACTCACAGAGATCCGCCTGCCTCTGCCTCCAGAGTGCTGGGATTAAAGGTGTGCGCCACCACCACCCGGCTGTATCAAATCTTTACATATACTTTAGATCATTATTCCCCACTTTCTGCCTACATGCATTGTTCACAATAAGTGATTCTAAACACACACCAACTAATGCCAAATCATTGTAATTTCTCACAAATTAACACTAGAGATTTGCTGTTTTTATCAGGAAGACTAAAGTGTGATGCAATGACACAGAAACTGGTGTTCGATAGCTAATTAGTGGCAAAATTACTAACTCAGAACAGATCATAAACTTTCAGGTTCGAAAGAGTGTACTGGCCAATCTTATAAATACGACTTTTGCAATACAAATACGCTTGCCCAATTAACAGACAGTAAATTTTAAGCATCTGATTAAGTTATAAACCTTATTTTATAAGCTTGTTTCTTTAAGTAAGATATATGGCCCAGCGGCACTGTTCTAGTATGTTCTTAGATATTTAAGTCATCAACCTCACTACAGAAATATCCAATCTAAATTCTGGTGGGGTCCAGCAATGACTGTATTAACTAACAGTTTAGCCTTCTAGGTATCATTTATGAGAACCCCTCTGGCTTAGGGGATGACCTAAAATTTTATCGTCAGCTTCCTACTAAAGATGTCAAGTGAAGACAGTCGGTAGCAACAAGAAGTGCTACAATGTCTGAATAAAAGCCAAGTGATTGGAGAACTGTTTTAGACTCTGTAGAGTTTTATATCTTATAAAATTTAACATGATTAAAATAGAATCATCAACTAAGTTTATTTATTATATAGCATATTCAAAGTTGAGCAGAAAAATTGGTAAAAACCAAAGTTCTGTTAGTTAATTATTTCACTATCTTTGCTTTTGAATAAAACAATGCAGATTAACTAGTTAATACTGAAGCAAAATGCTGTTTTGTGAAAAATATGAACAGAGCTTTTCATTAAGCACTTAAAAACACCTGTTATTTTAACTCAATTATCCTTAACAGGGCCATGCATTAGAACTGCCTACAGAAGTTTTAAAAACACACATACTTGAATGAAACACAGAATTGAGTTCAATTACGTCTAACCTTAATGCTATTTTATTTTACAAAACCAGCACACTATTTTGATCATAGGCCCAGCGTGACAACTGCTATTACTCTCTGCAATAAGCCTGGTTCACTAGATCCAACTGTCATTCATAAGCTTATTTTTAGCTCAAGTGCCTTTTCAAGCAGGAACAAGATTTATCTCTCCCTTACCCTTCCCTCAAAGGAACCTGTTGCTATGAGTCCAGTTTACTCATAAGCAAAAAATAGATACCATAATTTCTCTCAGGTTTCGCTTCTTAATAGCAAATGGAAGCTGGAATGTAGAGATTAAATGACAAGGACATAATGCCATGGACAGATTCTAATTCTTCCATTAATTTTCAGCTCAGTATCTTAAATTTATTTTGTTATGTTTTAAACTATTTTTATACTAGGTGTCCAATTACAGCACACACAGGAAAAAACATCGCTGAATTCCCAATTTGGCCAAATGACTTTAAAACTATGCCGATCAGAGAAAACAGCAACACCAACAAAATAGTCCAGACAGTAAAACTGTCTACCTATCAAGCAAAAACAGAGTACAGTGTGGGCCGGGAAGCTTCTTACCTTCCTAATGACTTGCTGCTGCTGTGCATGCTTTGCTCTTAATTCTGACACCTCCTTCCAAAGGGACTCATTCTCACTGTATTAAAGTTCAGTTATAAACCAAAACAACAAAGATTTGGTCAGAAGATCAAGCCACATGTTTTAATCAAGAAATCCAGAGACCTTAACAACTCAGAGGTGGAGTAGCCAGGCAGAGGTAGGAGAAATACAGGTTTAAGAGCAGCTTAAGCTATACAGTGAGACCTTGTCTAAAGAACAAATACGAAATAACTAAGCTTCTCCTAAGCTCTATTTCCTTCTTCTCAACTGTATTATCTACTCGTCACAGCAATACTTGTAAAGAGCCTTAAGATCCATACTTGCATGCATACAGTAGTAAGTAATTTACACCTTTTGATAACTGGACTTAGTGCTTTTTGCTTAAAAATAAAGTTAAGTTTAAGCAGGATGGCAAGAATATACAGATTTGGTAACTGTTTCCGGAAACAAAGGGAAGAACCCTGACCAGCACATGACAGGTTCTGGAGATGCTTAGTATCTCATGTGTACGAACCACCTCCTAAACTTCCATAAACACTGCTAGGTAAAAGAATCACAATCTTGCTATATAGATGGAGTGAAGGACCTTTGCCCAGCATCATATAGATAACTGCAACTATTAAAGTAAATTTAGTTTGTTAGGCCCTAAAGCTATCTGAAGATCTGGATCAAACCCTCTAAGGAGGCAAAGAACATCTCTAAGTCTTTTTAAAGAAGGATGTCCAATAACTTACCCAATAGCTATAATTCTTTTCCCTTTGACTTTGTAAAATCAAAATTGCCATTATTAAAATTGCCAAACTAATAAGGATAATTCGACTTATTAGCTAATTTTAACTTCTATTAATCTCCCAAAAGTTATCTTCCTTCAAGTTATTTGTACTATTATAACAAAAAAAGGCAGATTCACACATAGAAGTACCAGAAAAGGAAATAGTTTTTAATACTTACTAAATAATCACTATATATTTTCAAAATCAAATTTAAAGATGCTGCTACCTGTCTACTGAGGCAGAAGATGGTTATCTCTAAGAGCTAAAGAATGACTGAATGATCAAATCTTGAATTAGCTTACAGGATGCTACTAGCAGAAACAAGCAGAGCAAACAGCAAACTAGTTAGATAAAATGAGTAAAATTGGAAAGTTTAAGGCTTATTCAAACAAGGAATCCAAGTCCAAAGTCACTCATAATGAAAACATTTGAATCAGGAATAACTTAACAGCCCAACTGTAAGATAGACTGTGTGAAATAACTACTCTCTTGCTATTAAAACAATGCCTTGTATATGTAAGAACAAAACATACCTACTCTATAAGTTAACAGTGTGTCAGCTGAGAAAATACTACTAAATAATGTCGTAAAACAAGATAAGTTATGTTTTTGAAGATAAGAGGTGTGTGTAACCCTCTCCTGGGTCTGTGTCAGGATCAAGTAGGACAACTCTGTGTGTGTGTGTATGTGTGTGTGTGTGTGTGTTATTTCAATGCCCTACTTTTTCCTAATAGACAGACCACAATGACATATACATTTTAAAGAAGTCATTTATGTATGAAGACCACAGGAGAACTAATCTTTGCTAAACTATTGACTACACTATCAACCAGTTATATGTGATTTCTAAGGTGCCCTCACTTCCATGTGAAACCATATGAAGACTAATCTATGTAGAATTTATTTACTACATTATCTTAAAGAGCTGCCATTTCATAAACAAGACAAGCTTCATGGCAACATTACACATTCTGACAACCATAATTAAAGTCTACATCTACAAACTAAAAGTAAAGGGAAGTGATACAGAAAACAAAACACCGAGAGTTAAGGTAAAACACCAGACACTCTCCAAACCCCAACACACACTCCCCAACTTCCTTAATAGTAGGATTATATTTGGATTTATTTTTACCTTTTTAATTCTGAAAGCCTGGACTCAATAGTTTCTTGCTTTATCTGAACCTTCTGAGCACTACTTATAATTTTTGTTAAATCTTCCTGACGAATTTTATTTTCCTCTGGTTTTGAAGATGAAACCTTCCAAAATACAAATTTAAAAAATTAAATATATACTATGCCCCCATGACTGTAATTCAAAATTTCCTATTATGAGAAGTCTCTGTATCCTATTAAAGAAGTGAGATGTGGTTATAATTTCTAGATAAATTCTAGAGCAAGAACAAATTGCATAGCTTAATACAAGAGAAAGCAAGGAATAATCACTTAATTTTTCCCCTTTCCCTAGTCTACTTAGGAGTAAGTCACCATACTGGGATGAGCAGGAATATAGGAATCTGTAGCACAATTGATAAAAACCCAGAGACAGTAATTGGGGTTCAACCTGAAGCCAGAAAAGCAAAACAATCAGACACTGGCTCTTAGCTCTACCTCAGTCCAAAATGGCAAGCCTGCCTCCAACAATCTCAGAATGAGACTGTGTCTGTGAGCTGTCTCCTCCCATCTTATATTCCTCTCTAGTGCTGGGATTAAAGGAATGCATCACCCGGTTTCTATGTCAAACTAGTGTGGCAACTGGTATTAAAAGTGTGTGATACCACTACCTGGTCTATACGACTGATAAGTGGGGCTGTTTTACTCTATGATCTTCAGGCAAGCTTTATTTATTAAAATACAAATGAAATATCAGTACAAATATCTTTTTTATTCCCTCTGTTAATTGAATTTCCTATCATTTCCAAGCCTCTTTATCACATCATATTCCATATTAATTAAAATTATGTAGTAATACAGCTGCATGTTAGATAATTTTCTTTCATGGGCTCTTCACCTTTTGTTTTTATTCTGCGGTATTCAGGACTGAACTCAAGGCCTTGTGTGTGTTAGATTAAGTAGACTTACATTTCTAGCCACTGGGCTATAGGTAGTCTCCTGCCATCTTTTCACCACCACCTCCCACTTTTTGGTGACAGGAACTGAAGGAAGAATTTTAAGGTGCTAGAAATGCTCCATCACTGGACTATCTATATCCCCACTCTTTCTTTCTTATACACCTCCTATGGATTTACTAAGACATCTCATTTTAGCAGAAGATAGCTGTTTCTTTTCTCTGCAAACTCAAGAGTAAACCCTCCCTTGACAATGGGTAACTCTACCCTGTCACAATATTGTGAGTATTTTCCTTCTCTCCCTAAAGTGAAGACTGTACTACTCTCAGCACAGGTGAGTCTGAAGTAAGTGGTCGGGACAGATGAACAATTAATCAGAGATTTATTAGTTTAGTTCATCTCTATAAGGATTATCTCTGTATTTCTTCAACATTCATTTTCATTATCTATATATTTGTTAGTAGTGATGGTTACTGAGACAGAATCTCACTCCATAGTCCAGGCTGGCCTGGAACTCACTATTTAGACCAAGCTGGACTCAAATCGACAGCAATCCTCCTGCCTCTGCCTCCCAAGTGCTAGGATTACAGGTGTGCACCGCCATACCCAGTCTGTTCCTCAGGTCTATAACCTCATTGATGCATGCCAGCAGCAGCTCACCTACCTTCCTTTTAATGTTCTCCAGCAAGTCGTCTTGGCCTTGTTTGAAGTAAGGATGCTGAAATTCAACAGGGCCATCTCTTTCCTGTTTTATAATTCCAGAATCGATATGTAATACTTTACGGAAGCCGTCTGACAAAGATTCAAATTTACATACTAAAATTAGACAACTGAAAAATAAAGCTTATACAGAAATATACTTCATTATTTTAGTGAGAAAAACTGGCTTAAACAGAGGTTAGTAGCATTAAAGGCAAACCGCTGGTCATACTCACACATATTTAGTTGTCTCACAAAGCTGGCCATGTTATTATGTTTGAAGTACTTGGGAAGAATTTCTTTTGCAAATCTCTGCTCATCCAAGACCAGAAAACTTTGCCCATTCTAAAAACCAAACAAAAAGCCCACAAACGTCAATCAGCTAAGGTCCTCTGACAAAGTTATATATGTGAATCTAAATAAACCTTTCTAGATACGTTCAGACCAACAATCTATTTTTGATAATGTAACAAAAAGAATCCTGTAATTACAAAAACATTTTAGGTATCAGCATCAAACCAAAGGCTGCATCAAACTCTGTGAAGAAACATTAAAAGTGTGTCTACTAAACAAAAGGCCTAATATGTAGACAGTACTACTAAGTTATTTTAAAGCTAAAGTAAACTGACAAAAACAAATTGAGAAATCACTATTTTACCAGTATCCATAACATATGTAAGTATTACACTGAAAAACTATGAAAGAGCTTCGAAAGATTTCTGGTTACGAGATTAATTCATTGAATAGGGTGTGGTGCTGGTGTCCGGATTTAGATCACTATCTCTAGCACCCACCCCCTTTTACTTTCTAAAAAAAAAATACAGGCAAAACACTTAGGCACATACAATTAAAGGCAAAACACTTAGGCACATACAATAAATATCTGTACATACACCGCAAATATGACTGGTGTTTGTGGAGGTGAAAATACTTCAGAGCCCATGGAACTGAGTTACATGTGCATCAGCATGTGAGCTGGGAAACAAACCTCTGTCCTCTGCAAAAACAAGTGCTCTTAACTTCCAAGCCCTACCTCTCCAGCCCTTAGTTTCTGAGGCAAGGGTCTTAGAATTGCAGCCCAGGCAGGTCTCAACTTTGTGATTCCTGACTCAGCCTATGAGGGGCTACAACAGGCTACATCACCACTGCCACAGGCCAGGCTGGCTTCTAGACTAATATTGAGAAAACAAGATACTCATATGTAAAACAATACAGTTGACCTCTTACCTGACATCATGTACAAAACTTAACTCAAAATAGCCACTAAAAACTATACACATTAGCATCAAAGATCTGAATCTTGCCAGGCCGCTATAGTGTGCATCATCAGTCCCAGCACTCAGCAGGCAGAGGCAGGCAGTTCTTGCCAAGTCCAGAACAGCCAGGGATGCACAGAGAAACTTGTATGCACGCACGCGCGCGGGCACACACACACACACACACACACACACACACACGAGAAAAATTTCACGATGTTTGATTTAGAAATTAAGTCTTGAATACAACACTGAAATACAGGCAATGTAAAAAAATGGGACCATATCAAGTTTAAAAACTTCTGCATATTGAACATCGATAAGCAGGAAAAGCCCTCCCATAGGATGGGCAAAGGATTTGTAAATGAGGTATGAGACATATATCAAAAAAACAACAAAAATCCAATTAAAAATGAGCAAGGACTCTGATTATCATTTTCCAAAGATTCAAAATTGCCAATAAGTGCATAAACGATGCCTGACATTCACAAATCATTAGGAAAACAAAAGTTAACACAACACTACTTCCCAGCAATTTAGAATGACTTTATCAAAGAACTATAATGTGTTGAAGGTGTGAAGGAATTTGAGGCGTGACTTGATGGTGGGACAGACGACACTGCAGCTGTTGTTGAATACAGGACAGCAGTTGCTCAAAACAAACAAAAAACAGAAAGAACAGACTTACCCAAGGAGCCAGAAATTCCTATTTTATATAAACACTCCAAAACTAACAAAGGACCTGAAGAGATACTGGCACCTCATGATCCCTGTAATATGTCACAAAACTCAAAAAGTGAAAGCAACTTAAGTGTCCATCATCTAATCAATGGGTGAACAAAATGTGGTACAGAAATACTGAGAAATGTTATTCAGATTTTCAAGTAGAATTTGACATGTGTTACACAGGTTCAAGTATTTAAATGGTTGGCCCCCAGTTGGTAGAACTGTTTGGGAAGGACCAGGAGGTGTGGCCTTGCTGGAGGAGGTGTGTGACTGGGAGGTGGGCTTTCTGAGGCTTCAGAAGTCCATACCATTTCCAGCTAGCTCTCAGATGAATCAGATGTAAACTCCTAGCTACTGTTCCAATTCCATGCTGGTGTGACTGCTATGCTCCCCACCCTTATGGTCATGGACTCACCTTATGAACTGTAAGCCTCAAATAGACTCTTCTGTAAGTTGTTTTGATCATGGTGTCTTATCACAGCAATAGAAAGTAAGCCATAATTTCAGTTTGGAAAGATCAAAGTTGTTATACAGCTGGGCAATGATAATGTAATATAATTGAAGTACACATTTATTTGATACACGGCTAAAATGTTTGATTTCACCTTATTTTAACAAAAAATGCATTTACTAATACAGAGCTAAAATGTTTAATTTGTTTTCATGTTATTTTACAAAAAAAAAAAACAACCACACATACACACAAAGGTGATGGTATAAACCAGCCAGAAAATGATTATTTAATAAAGATGCTGGATAACTAATGAATGAAAAAAAGTGAGATTTATCCTTCAAATTACCCCCAAAAGTTTATTCCACATAAACTGAAGCCATGGGAAAGAAAAAGCACATTTCTCTTCATAAAATATGTAAAAGAAGGCAATTTGGAACCACAATAGAGTAAAATATCCCAATAATAAATAATCTAAACACATGGGACCTTTAAATATTAAAATGAAAGAATCTAAGGAAAACAAATATAGCATTGTAAAGTTAATACTCCTTTAACCCAATACATTAAGTGTCTCAACTTTAAACTATCTTAATTTTCAAAAGATTTTTAAAGATGAAAATATGCAATTACAAGAAAAAGGTAATTATATACTTGTTATAAGGAACTCCTATAAACAATAAAATATTAATAAAAATCGACAATACAAAATTTTCACAGAAAAGGAACCCAAGAGTCTAATAAATAGAAGAAAACTTTAGAACTCACTAATTACTAACAGAAATATAAATTAATGCAAAGTTTTTTTAAGGAAATATTTCCTACCTACCACCCTGGAAATCTCCAAGAATGGTAATATTCTCTTTGACAAAGAGATGAAGTAACCAAACACCTCATGCACAGCTATCGAGAGGGAATGCTGGTTACGTCACAGTGGGGCTGGAGAGAAGCCTCAACAGTCAAGAGCTCAAACTGCTCTCAGAGAACCCAGTTTGGTTCCTACCACTCATGTGGGTAGGCTCATGATAGCCCATAAACCCAGCAAATCTGACTCTCTCCCCTGCCCTCTACAGGTACCTGCACTCTGTGTGCGTGTGCGTGTGTGCGTGTGTGGCACGCGCACGCTTAAAATAAAAATATTTATTTTCATTTTGTGTGTGTGCACTTAAAAATAAAACATTAAAAAAAGAGAGAATAACGTATTTCAGCTGTCCATCTAACATTAACTTAAAATGTTACCTTTCACTATTGGCACTGCTTTCTGGAAAAAAATCTGTGACAGCAAAACTGAGAGAAATCTGTCCTAAGAAACTAGGATTTGCTCCAGATAACATTACCTAGAACTTCCTACTAGTTGTACAGGGCAACACTTTGATATAAAAGTAAAGAAAGTGCCAGGCTGTATAAAAAGTACACCGCAGATAGTGGGAGAATTTGGAACTCAGAACCTTGTTAGGAGTCTTCTCTACCCTGCATACACACAAGCATTATAGTCCCCAGTAAGCCTGGAAATCACCTATAAAGGGACTAGGTTCATCTAGATGATCCCTAAGACACTTTTCAAATAGTATTCCATCAGGGCTGTCCAACCTTTAACATTACAATATGACCAGATAGGCCACACTCATCGTTATCCCAGGACACCAGTGACATCATTCCAATCAAACCCATTACATTTTGTAGCAGTTTCATTGATTCAAAGATTATGAACTAATTGTACCTCTAGAACAAATACCCTACTGAGTTTACATTTTGACTGTCCTATGGGTGTATTAGAAATGAGCAGTTAAAATACAAACGGAGACTTAATGAGATGAATAAAAATACTTCATTTAGAAGTAGTAAGACTTCAAGTTAAGCACTGGTTTAAATTCTCCACATTTCAAACCATTCGAAAGAAAGTTATTAAAATGTTTTGTCTAATTTGAATTTATTAGACAGCCTTTCACAAGCCTAAGGAAGTTCAATAAACTTAGCTTGGTTGGGGAAAGTGTTGCAGCCCAATTTCTAACAATAAAGTACAGCTGAGTAACAGTCCGTACTGATCCAGTCTTGTCAACCTTTAATCCTCCCGACTGACGAATAGCATGAGACATCTGTTTATTTTAAGTACCTGCTGGTAGTTGCTTTCCTTATTTTCACATCTTTGCACCGATGTACCAAATTCACCAAATACTTAATATACACAACCTTCAGGGGTAGGACACCTAGGTGACAATACTTACACAAGAAAAGGAAATTCTAGAAGTTAGTTTAGAAGACCAAAATGACACTAATACTAGGCAGAATTCAGTGACATAGTTGTCAAGCTATCAGGTATTCTATTGTTCGCTATTAAAGGCATGTAAAACTGAAAAGTAGCTTAATAGCAAAAAGGAACACAGAAACAAAGAGATATCATTCATCTTACACTTAGCAAGTGCTGGGTATTAAGCGGTTAGTTTTCACTAACTTACCTCCAAAACTGTAAACATGAGAATACCCACGACTAGGTGATCATCTCCAGTAAGAGCCGCCAATCCCCTTCAAAAAGCCATTCTGATCATCTAAGAACTGCGCCCACTAAAGCAAAGGCACTAGTGATGCAAGCAATCACTGGGCAAAGAACCTTTGTGTGGAACGGGGGTGGGGGGATGGGGGGGAGGGTTCCTTGGGTCACCTAGGCAACGCATCCATCTTACGCATAACTTAGACCAGGCGAGATACCGGGCTTGATTAAGGTCATCTTTATTTATAAGTAGAATCTGGATGAAACTGATCAAGGCAGCCACATAACACGCCGCCAACAACCACTCAGTGAAATGTAACGACTCGTTTTTAACGCCCCACGAAGTTACCAAGCATGGTCCTACTGCCACTTTTCACTAAAATAACCATTAAAAAAAAAATAGCCGACTAAACAAATGGTCCAGTCTCCAAACAATAATTGGTCAACCTCTACGCAGTTTTAGTCTGAGTCTGTCCATTTTCCCTTTACCCTGACCATCATAAAAGATCCCCCGACGAGAGGGCGAGCAATCCCCGCCGCGGAGGTGATTTCCTTAGATAAGACCCGCGCGCGCTCACCCACCCGCCCGCCCGCGGCTCCGCGAGCGACCTCCGCGCCCGCAGCGAGCAGACGACGAGGGATGAGTGTGCAGAACGCGCGGTTGCGGGGCCGGTTCCGAGCGCCCGGGCCGGCCGGCGGGACCGTTACCAGGGCGCCCCTCCCCCACCGCGGCCCGTGCGAGCGCAGCCGGCCGGCCGGGCCCGGCTCGCGGCTCACACAAAGCCGGGGGTCCGCGTGAGGAGGGGGAGGCCGCAGGCCGCCGCCGCAGGCCGCGGGAGCCACCGAGCCCAGCCCAGCCGGTTCGTCAGGGACACCCGGGGCCACCGAATCCCCGACTGTACCTGGCTCCAGGTGATGAACTCATTGGTGTGGGTTTCCTCCACCAGCGTCCACAGCTTGCTGAGAAAAGCCGGCACGTTGGAACTCTGCTTCATTGTTAGCCAGGCGCAGGGATTCCGAATTCTACTCCCGAACGCGGAGGTCGCTTCAGCTGCGGCTTCGGTGGCGGTGGTAGCGGCGGCGGCGGCGGCGGCGGCGGCGGCGGCAGCGGCGGCGACGGCAGCAGCTGCTCCCCGAGAAAGCGCACCGCGCAGGCGCGGCGGCTGGCGAGCCCCGCCCCCCTCGGCGCCGCGGGGCGTGCAGTGAGGCGGGGGAGACCCCGCGGCCGCACGTGACGGACAGGGGTTCGCGGCTCCACCCATGCGCTCGGCTCCCGCGCCGGGCCTCGGCGAGCCCAATCCAAAGCCTCGGGTGCAGCACGGGGCAAAGCGATTGACTGCTGCCGCGAGGAGGGGTGGGCGCAGGAGGGGTTCCGCCTTCTCTTTTACCTTTTAGGCAGGCTCCTTGGTGAGGGAACGAGGTGGGGACCAGGGAACCCTGGTTTGGTGGGTTCACGTGGCCAGCGTCCGGATGCACGGGCTGTGGCTGGCCGAGGGCAGAAACGCCCAGGGGCCTTTGACTCAGGAGTTTGGCCGGCAGAGAGTCATTTGCTCCAGTCTAAAGGAAGGAATAAATCCCATGGGGCAGAGCAAGATGTGCTAGTGCTAGGCCCCTGGTTGAAACTATCTTAAAGATAATGAGCCTTGTTTTACATTTTTTTATTGGGAGAAAATGGCTTATATGAGACACTTTTTAATCAAAGCCTGAAGCTTAAGTAATAGTTCGTTGTTGACTGAGTACTTGCTGAGTACCGTATTTTCTATTCTAAATCAGCAACTGTTATGTGTTTTCAATTGAGCAGACATCAGGTGTCAGCCATAAACCCAGTTTAAAAGCAATTAGTCTAGTTTATAGTATTTGGGCCAAAACTGTTCATGTTCAGTATGTACCTTACAGAGGTTTCTTCTGGCAATGTGTGATACGGAAAAAGTCCTTAAAGCACAATTTCCCCCCTTTTCTTCTCTGAGAATAAGATGTTTTACCTATTAGGAGTAGCTGTAATAATGTGGGCCTCTGAAAATAAAGAATTTTTTGAAGGTCTTTTTTTTAACAAAACAAAAAAAAAACCCACACACATGAAAGAATGATTTGCAAACAGATAATAATTAACACTCCACACAATTCAGTGCTATGTTGGTTTCCTTCCTGGGTATGTGTACAACTGTACATTAAAAACAATAGCTATGCATGGTGGTTGACACCTGTAAGTCCAGGACTGTGGAGGCTGAGGCAGAACTGGACAGGAAAAGCCAGCTTGAATTAAATATGAGCTCCTGGTCACCCTGGGCTACATGACAAGATCCTTTCTCTCAAAAAATATAAGCAAACATTATATACATATATGCTTTTACATACAGCATTTTCAGTAACCATATACTGAACGTAGCGCTGTTTGCTACAAAAATATTGAACATATGATGACAGTAATTATAATAAAAAGATTAATATTTGACAAGGGTTTTACATGTATTATCTTCTTTAATCTTCACAGTAACCCAAAAGATGATTCAAAAGGTTGGATTCAGGTTGCTACAAGTTTTATTCAGCCAGCTATTCAAAGCAAACCAGAATCAACCCTGTAGTCAGATTCCCAACATGGGTGACTTGTCAGTTTCCAACTGCATTCCAGTGTGACAATGTGGTGGCTTCCCTCAGTTTGGGAGTAGTTTTCCAGTCCCAGAGCATCAAAGAAAAAAAGCCAGTGACAATCCTGCTATAGTTACTTCACAAGATAAAGATCAAATAAGTTGCTCCCCGAAGCTTGCTCAACCTGCTTTCTTATAGAACCCAGGCCACCTGTCCAGAGATGGCCCTGTACCCAGTGAGCTGGTCCCTCCCCTGTCAATCATTAATCAAGAAATACCCTCAGACTTGCCTATAGGCGATCTGATGGTTATCTCAACTGAGGCTCCTCTTCCCTGATAATTCTAACTTATATCAAGTTTAAAAAAAACTAGCATAATTGAACCCTTTGTCTGTTTGGCACATCAATACACACTAATTAATAGTAAGCTTTACTTTATCAATATCAGCATGATAATATAAAGCATTCCAACTTGTAAAAGCCCCACAGTATTTAAAAATTCAGATATTTTAAAGGTTCAAATTTTTAAAAATATATCTGCTCTATTAACTGTGGGCACCTGTCAATCAAAAAGAAGTTTAATACCTTCTTATTTCAAATGGGAAGAATTAAGGACCTGTCACAATCAAATCAAAACAAAGCAAAATCCAGCTCCACCCGTGTAAATCAAATCCTGTAGCTCACTGTTTTGCACCTGATGTTTACTGATGACGTTCGGGGCTGGAAAGAGCTTGGGCAGCTCTACCTCTCGAGGTCTGCCTGTCAGAGACAAGCAGCTTCTCCTACAGGCTTAGGCCACCACCATCCTACACCTACCTCTGTTCCTAGCAGTCATCCGTGGTTCTGCCATCGCCAAGATGCTGGGATCTACACTGCAACTGCTGCACCTTAACCCGTTTCTCACCAGAACTGTCTTCAGGACCCTGACCCTGCCACGTGGTGCCAAGCCTCAGCTCCTCTCCCTGATTCCAGAAATACTGGGCTTGTCATGGCTATGGAGTCTGTACCTTTACTAGTGGCCACTCCTGCTGCCAAACCTCAGCCATTCTCCATGATCGCGTCATGCATTCAAAACCGGTGTCATCTGGAAGACACAATACCAAATTCAGTTCACAGCATGGGTTTCAGCCTTGGCCCTCTTCAAACCACAGCTTCTGTGTGCTGACCATGAGGAAATCCTCTCAGAGAACTCTGCTTCAATGATGTTGGTGTCTTCTAAATCATAGCTGGCTTAACTCCACCTACCCAGAGTCATTTGTTCCAGGAAAAGTTTCCCTGCAGTGGTCTTGGTGTCTTTTGAAGCACAGCTAATTCTTTAACTCCAGCAGACCAGATAGATACACCAGATTCTTCATTCAAAACATCACCATGAATGGCTCCCATAGAGTCTTTGAGGCCCTCTCAGATTTCCCTCTGAAGCGTCACAAGCCAGGCCTCCATTTTCTCCAAGATAAGTCACTGTTCTCAATTATCTTCCAAGTTCCAACATCTCATTAATCCCTCAACACTCACTGTTCTTTGTTTTCTGGTTTTTGTTTGTTTGTTTGTTTTCTAGCCCAATATTTCAAACTCCTTCGACGATCCTCCACTAGATAACACAGGTTGGTCATATCATCCTCCCACTCTCTGTACCAGTTTTGGTCCTGGGTTGCTTTCTATTGCTGTGGTCAAACACTTTGACCGAAAGCAACTTCCAAAGGAAAGGGTTTATTTCAACTTTTAGTTGGAGTTCATCATGAACGGAAGTCAGGGCAGGTACTCAAAGCAAGAACCTGGGGACAGGGACTGAAGTGTGAGCCATGGAGAAGTGTGCCTGCCGGTCTGCTCCTCCTGCTCGGCCACTTTTCTTATACAGTTAACCCCAGGGTTGGCACTGAACATAGTAAGCTAGGTCCTTCCACATAATCATTAATCAGGAAAACATGCTACAGGCAATGTGATGGTGCCATTTGCTAGGATTTCATCATGATACTGGCCCCGTTGGTCCCACTGCCCATCAACCCAGAGGACCTGTGACTGCATGTCCTTATGTCCTCTTGCCTGGCTGCTTACAGCTTTCCCTTCCAAGCAAACTCTGCCCGCCTGTTGGGCTCTCCACGTTCCTCTCCAAGTGGACTGACAGAAGCCCCCTTTTCTCTCCCCTTTCCTGGTAAACTTCCACCCACGTGGGTTTGTTGAGCTCTGTGGTTCATTCCTTACACGGCAGCTGCAGCCAAACACTACCACCATTAACTAAGGTTCTTCTTCGAAAACTAGTATAAGGACATGCAGTCACAGGTCCCCTGGGTTGATGGGCAGTGGGACCAGCAGGCCAGTATCATGATGAAATCCTAGCAAATGGCACCATCACATTGCCTGTAGCATGTTTTCCTGATTAATGATTATGTGGAAGGACCTAGCTTACTAGTATAAAGGTGACCAAAACTGACTAGGACAACTGAACAACATCCTTCTTCCTAAGGCCACAGTTGTATGTCACAGGCATGTAGGTGAGGGGGGAAATGCGTGGGTGTGATGTTCAGCAGGTCTGAACTGAAAACGTCGTGTTGTTAGGATCCGGCAGACCTGGTTAAGGCAATGGTGTGTACTCCATGTTTGGGCAGGGTATGTCTTAAGTGTTGAAAGTTCTATGCCTCAAACAAGGCAGCAGAGTTAGGTACCTCAGCTCAAGTCTTGCTTAGTCATTGGTGGTGGACAGGAAGCAAACCTTGGCAAGTTAAGCATCTAGTGTGGATAGGTGATTTAAACACTCTAACACCCGCCTATACGGGTTAGTTTGTGTCAACTTGACAAAACTACAGTCCCCTGAGGAGAGAATTTTGACTGAGGAACCACCTACCTTCCTCAGATCGGTCTGTGGGCATATCTGTCAGGCATTTTCTTGATGACTACTTGATGTAGGGTGGCCCAGTCCATTGTGGACAGTGCTGTGCCTGGGTAGGCAGTCCTGGGTTCTGTAAGGAAATTAACTGAGCAAGCCAGAGGAAGCCAGTCGGTAAACTGTATTCCTCCATGGCTTCTGCTTCAGTTCCTAGGTACCAGATCCCCTTTGGCTTACTTTGATGATGTGCTGAAACCTGTAATCTAAATAAACTCTTTCCAACCTTGTTGTTTTCGGTCATAGTGCTTCTCACAGCAACAGAAGAGTAACGAGAACGCGGGCTTTAGCTCTTTCAGAAACAGTGGAGGTATTCAACAGACATTCCAGCAGATGGCGGATAAATGGATGCACTCTGTGTCCTACTCACAGCCCTGGTGGAAGTTGGCTCATTACAAAGGAAACAACAGGTCTAGACAATTGAAAGGTCTGGAAGCAACAGAAAAACGGAGTTAGTTGCTAAGTGACTTTCACTGGAAGCCTTTTGTTATTTTCACCAGAATAGACTTATATTAAGGCCACAATCTCCATTCTCCTCATTCCACTTGAAGGTGGTGGGAAAGATAAAGGAGTTTGCAGTTTGTCTTTCTAAGTAATCAATTGGCAACAGAGATGTCTGAGCCACCTCAAATATTAAATGCATTGTATAT